AGTTGTTCGGAACGGATTTGTGGACGTGCCAGCGTCGCTGCCTGTGGGTCGCCTGGGGTGGTGGATCTCCGGCGCGGCTGACCGATGTGTGAGTCCGGCGGAAGGTTGGGGGTGGCGCGGCGACTGATCTCTCAAGGCATGGGCATTTTCTCGGCGGGAAGCAGCAGAAGTCGATTTGTCACGCTGCTGGGAGTGGGCTTCCACGGCGCTTTTGCTGGGAGCATGGTTCCCTACAGTAAGTATACAGTCATATCACCAGATGGATCATTCCAGCATCACATTGGCAACTGCAACCCCGTAAGGTTTCTTCTCTGAGCGCTGGTTAATCCTCGTCCTGCTGCGAGCCCCTTCCGCAGGCGAATCCTCCCTTTACAACCCCACCTGCTCAAGTCCGTCCTCCTTCGGGGATCTCGGACTTGGCCGAAATGGTCACCATTGCCGTCTCTCTCGAAGCCACCTGGCCAAGCGCCGCGCCGCCCGCTTCCGGCCGCGGCCATCCACATCTATGCCATGGCTTCGGCTGCTGAGCTTCTTGCTACTGCTGTGCGCAGTCGCCATGCCGCACACTCGATCTTCGGTGGATTCGTACATTCGTTGCTGCCGAGAGCTGCAGCCCGAAGCTGCGAACTTCGGCTTCATCGACTCGTCCCTGGTGCAGGGGCTGCACGGATCGCTAACGGAGCTGCTCACCAAGCCGTTCACGCACATCCACAGGCCCCGTTACGTACGATGCTGCCGCTCTACCCGCTGGGCGTCTGCGGGGGCCGCGAGCTCGTTGAGGTCGCACACTTTATCAGCCAACTCCACGTCCGCCCACCCGGCGGAGCTGGACGGCTGTCACCGCATGACGCACGAAGGAGCGGGTGCTGTTCGACCTGTTCCACGTCCGCCTCGCGTGGATGACGGCCTTGCTATCGCCTTTGCGCATCCTGCCGCGCTCGGTGGCGGGCCGCTCTCGCCACCCGCTCTGCTCCATGTTACCAGCCTCGAGCGCATCCCTATCCCTAAGATTGACAAGCCAAAAGGCGATGCCAATCTTAGGGATTCGCCCTCAAAAAATCAAGGAATCCTTAAGATTGGCATCGTGATGAGGAGGTGCACAGCATAGGGATAGGGATCTGTTCCAGGCTTGTAACCACGGTGCCGGGCCTCTCCCTCGGCCCGCCGCCGGTGAGGCTGCAGCGGAGCCCGCCCCCCCGGGAAGCTGGCGACGCTGCTGCCGACGGTGGCGCCCGTCTACGTGGACCCGCTTCTGGAGTGCCTGCTCCGCCTCTGCATGTCGTTGCCGCTGGTGCGCGTCCCTCCCCCTCACGCTGTCAACGCCGATCCTGCGGCCGTCTTGGTGGGCAGGGTGCCACCCCCTTGCTGGTTCCAGCCTTCCCCCATCGAGGCCATCGTTGTACTTGCTGATGGTGGTCGTGAAGCTGGGTAGTGACCCCTCGCGGTGCGATCGCCGCGCCGCTTAATCGCCATGCGCCGCTTCGTCTCCGTCTCCGTCTCCGCGCGGACGCAGTCGATGCCGACCAAACTGTTCCGCGAATGGTGGCGTGCCATTCGGCGAGCCATACGGAAGGACAACAGGCTGTTCTTCCGCTGCTTCGACGCTTTGGCCGACCTCGCAGCGGCAGTCGCTACTCCGGATTTCGTAATAAAAGGGAGGGGGTCTGGACCCTCCAAGACAAGCCATTTCAGACCTCCCCCGTGGGAGAACCCTCCAAGACATCGTCCCCAGACCCCCCCAGGCCCTCCAAGATAGCCTGGAAGAGACCCCCCCCCCGAAATGAGACCCCCCTCCCTTTATTACGAAATCTGGAGTAGCGACTGCGAGCGATCTTTCGGCGAGCTTCCTGACGCTGTTCCAGATGCAAATGTGCTCCTTGATGCTCCTGCTTCTGTCGCTGGCGGCGACCTGGATGCACGGAGTCGATCCCGCTGATGCTGTGTTTCCTTCTGCCGCCGCCGGCGGCTTTCGGTTGCATGGCGCTGAACGTCATGGTTACCCCGCTGGTTGGGGACCCACAGAAAATACACCACCACCACGTCGATTTCTCCTCTCTCCTCTTTCCAGCGAGAGGGAGCGGGGGAGGGAGGTGGTGGTGGTGGTGGTGGTGGTGGTGGTGGTGGTGGTGGTGGTGGTGGTGGTGGTGGTGGTGGTGGTGGTGGTGGTGTATATTTGTGGGCCTCCCACTGGTGGCGAGCCGAATACCTCCTTCCCGAAGCTGCACCCGCTGCGGCTGCCGCCGGTGCAGCTGTCCGCGTACACCATGATGCTTCTGATGCTGCCGTTGGTGGCGACCGCATGCACGAAAACGACCCTCCTGACGCCGCCCATCCTGCACGTGTGCACGATGTCACGCCTGATGCTGCCGCTGGTGGCGAACGACCCCTTCGGGCAGGACATCCTGCGGCTCGCGATGCCCTGCTGCCCACTGGTGGTCAATGCTGGCTGCACGGGTGCGAAGGCATTGTTGCTGCCTCTGTTGGCCAACGTGTGCACGACCATTTACATGGCTTTGCCCGCAGTGCTGCTGATCGTGTACACCATGCTGTTCCTGATGCTGTCGGTGGCGGCAACTGTGCGCACGAAGCTGAAACCCCAGATGCTGAACATCCTGATGCCGCCGTCGGTGGCGACCGCATGCGTGCCGATGAATGCGCTGGTGCGGGCGCTGCCGCCGGCGGCGAACGAAGCCTGCCCAGAGATACCCCACCCGCACTGCTCCGCGCGAGCGCGAAGGCCACGAGGAGCCTGGCCGAGGCCGAGCGTGAACGTAGGCCCGCTGTCGCGGCCAGCTCCATGCCCCCCGGCAGGCGCACTCCACCCCGACCTGTCCCGCCGTTGGCGCCCCTCGCTCGGCTCGCCGCCGGCCCTGCTCCCAACTCCATCGTTTCCATGTCTTCGTTATTCCGCGAAGGAGCTACCTCCAGCTCCGATGGAGCCCACGGCCCGCGCCGCGGTCACCGCCGGGGCGGGTCTTCTGGGATGCGGGTGGGGCTTCGGGGCCGCGCAGCCCGTCTTCACTTGCTCGGCTGGGTCTGCTGGATCGTCGCGCGATCCAGAATCTGTTTGCTCGAACCACCTCGTTGGGTCAGTACTCCAGATTTCGTAATAAAAGGGAGGGGGTCTGGACCCTCCAAGACAAGCCATTTCAGACCTCCCCCGTGGGAGAACCCTCCAAAACATCGTCCCCAGACCCCCCAGGCCCTCCAAGATAGCCTGGAAGAGACCCCCCCCCGAAATGAGACCCCCATCCCTTCATTACGAAATCTGGAGTACCAGGGCCCGCCTGGTCTCCGGTGGTCGCCCTCGGCGTCGCCGGCGCGGCCCGCGAGCGGGGGGCGACTCGGCGGCGTTCCGCCGCGGGCCCTCACGGAGGAAGAGAAGGCGCGCGCGCTCGCGCCACCGAGCTCGCATCTGGGCTCCCCTCCTCTCGAAGGAGGGCGCGCCGCCGAATGCGCAGGGGCAGCTGTGCTTCCACGGCATCACGAGCCTGGGCAAGTTCTCCCCGCCCGAATGAACTCAGCCAGGGCGTCGGAGAGTCTGCCGGAGACCAGCTCGACGTCGACCCATCGACCGGGCTCGAGCAGCGCGCGCAGGTCCCAGCGCTGGCGTGCGCGCGGCAGGCGGGGCGCACGAGGATCGAGCGGCAGCAGAAGGTGGAGGGCGAATGCGGCGCCCGCCAGGTGGTCAAGCCGCTGAGCGTCGCCGACCAGGCGATGAGGCTGGCCTTTGAGAAGACGCGCTGGAAGCTCGAGGATGGCCAGGTGCCAGCCAGATCCTGCCTCGAAGCCAGGCAGACGGAGATCGAGCGCGGCGACGTCCGGGCAGAGGCGCCCACGTCGGTCTATTCAGCCGCGAGGACCCCCACCCCCCGACGTCGGCTCCGTCCAGCTCAGGGGCGATGGAATTCAGGAAGGCGGCGACCGTCAAGGTCGAGCCTCCGCAGGGCCCAGAGGCGCTGCGGAAGCGCATCGTGCTGATGGGCACGGGGGTCCTCATGCTCGGCCAGTGCTGCGCGAACCAGCCGAAGCCGCAAGGCAGCAACCCACAGCCGTTCCAGTCGCGCTCTGACTACATGCTCGAGGAGCACATCTGAAGCCTCGTGGCGAGGAATGCGCAGGGCGACGCGGTCGCGCGGCCGCCGTGGGCTCGGGCGCTGCAGCGCGAGCAACGCATCCGCAAGGATACTTGGTAGCAGACGCAGCAAGACCGCTTGCGGTTTCACGCGGCGTTCCAGCGGGCGGTCGACGATCCTGCGTTCGAGGAGCGCTACTTCACGACGCCGCTGGCCCTCGCCATCCTGGCGGCGCGCCAGCAACCCCAGCAGATGCCGCAGCAGCCATCGCCGCCACGGCACCTGGCGCTCCACGATGGTCCGCCGAAGCAGGCACGCAAGGGCGGCGCAGGCAGGGGGGGCGGCCGCGGCGCGGGCCACGGCGCCGGACGACAATAATATTTGCTGCAGGTGCAACTCCAAGGTGGCCAGGTGCGACGGGAAGAAGTGCCGCCCGCCTCCTCGCGTGCTCGCTCTGCTTTGCACAATGCCACCCCCAGTGCGAATGCAGGGGGACCGCCCGCGGGGCCGACGCGCAGCGCGAGGCTCTTCCCGAGCCCCCGCGGCGCCGCTTCCGATCCACGGCGCTCCGAGGGGCAAGGGCGGCCGCGGCAAGCGGCGCTGGCGCCAGGGCGAGGGCGGCGGCGGCGCAGGGCCAGGGCGCCGCGCCCCCCGCCGCCGCCGCCAGCAGACGATGGCCCAGCGGCCCCGCGAAGCCGCGACCTGGCGCCCGGGCCCCGCGCCCGGGCAGCCCGCGCCCTCCGCGGTGCGAAGCGAGCTGCCTCCGCCGCGCGAGCAGCGGCGGGGCCCCGCGCGACCCGTCGGGGCGGGGGCCCAGCCGGCAAGGTCATCCAGATGGCCGCTCGCAGGGTCCAAGAGCGGGAGGCGTCGCGATGGACCCCCGCGGGGAGAGATTCCGACGGAGAATGCGCGAGAAGGGACGGCGCCTGGAGTCAGGCGCCCGCAAAGAGTCAGGCTTCAGGCCGCAGGGTGAAGATGCAGCCGAAGGTGCTCTACCTCTGCGCAGAACAGAAGCGTCGGGCGGACGTCGCAGCCTGCGTGCGCTACCTCGGCATCCCCGCACGTCTGGGCGAGTTGGACCTGGCCTTCTCCGAAACAGCGCTACAGGGGCGACTGCCGCGGGCGGCTGGCCGCAGGCGGGTGGGGCGTGCTCGTGGTCTCGCCGCCCTGCAATCTCTGGTCGCGGGCAGCCCAGACACATTGCCGAGGCCCGCGCCCGCGACGGTCAGCGCAGTGCCCGCGGAGATTTCCTTGGCTGGAGGGCAGCGAGAAGCTGAATTGCCAAGTGTCCAACCAGCTCGCCGACTTCGCACCCCAAGCGTGGAAGGTCCAGTTGGCGAGCAGCGGGCAAGCAGCCGGCCTCCTAGAGCAGCCAGAGGACCTCGGCGCCGTCCAGGTGGGCGAACTTCGCGGGCAGCGGCCCGACAGGATGCGGCATTTGCCGATGGCGGACGCTTTTCTCGACCTCGACGGCCAACCAGCGCTAAGGCAGCAGCGCGTGGAAGTTTGCACCATCATCTTCGCCGCAAACAACTCCGCCGCCGTCATCAGCGCCAATATTCTCATCACCACCGCCACCACCATTACAGTCGCCATCGTCATCGCCATCGCCATCGCCATCATCATCATCATCATCATCATCATCATCATCATCATCATCATCATCATCATCATCATCAACAGTTTGGCGATCAGTCGTGTCACCATCAGCAGCATCCGCCTGGCGGTATATCATCGTCACCATTAGCATCATCATTCTCACCATCACCAGCATCGTCAGCGTCATCGTCACCGTCATCATCATCATCATCATCATCATCATCATCATCATCATCACCAGTATCATCAGGATCAATATCATAATCTGCATTGCCAACATTATAATGGTCATCGCCGTCATCGTCACCATTAACCTCATCAAGGTCATCGTAGTCACTGTCGTCATCACCGTCAACCCATATTCATATCCTCATCCTCCTCATCCCCTTGCGGGCACCCGGGCGCCAAGAACCATGCCCCCAGATCAAGACTCAGAGAACCCACGACGATCCCAAGACGTCCCCAAGAGGCGCCCAGAAGGAACCCTCCTTGCCAAAAGAGGCCCAGCAATGAGCGTTTGGCGCTCGTGCTTCCGGCACGGAGCGCCCCCTATGGCTCTGCGGTTTGGTACCAGGCGTTTTTGAGGCGACAAGGTGGTGCATTCAGTCGGGGACCATGTGCACTGACATAACAGGGGTGCGCACGCGCACCCTTGTTGTGGAGCTGGCGCCCCGCTCCGAAATACCAGTGGCGCGCATGCGCAGGTCACCAGAAATACGAGATCTGCTCATGCGCAAGGCATGGAAAGTTGTGTTGTGCGCACGTGCACCCCTGATATTTCGAAGTCAGGTTGGAGGTATGCCCTTAAGCAGCCGAGGCATTCATCATTATTGTTCGGCCTCGGAGCCCTTCAGTAGCCTCTGTGTGAAGCCCCTCGCGCATCACTTCCTCCCTCATCCTCTTCATCCTCGTCCTTCTCCCCCTTTGCCTGCCGCTCCTCTTCCGCCTCGCCCGCTACCTCCATCCAGCCCTGCTCCTCATCAGCATCCTTCCTCTTCCGAGGGCATTGTTGGGCGGTCTTGAAGAAGACGAAGGTGATGGTGGTCTTGATGAGGATGACACTGATGATGCACGAGGAAAATTACGATGCGGAGGCTGTTTATGGTGACGAGGTTGGCGACAAAATTGATGATGCTGCTGATGATGATGTTGATGACGACGAGGATGACGAGAATGATGATGACGATGATGATGATGATGATGGTGATACTGATGATGATGCTGATGATGATGCTGATGCTTGTGGTGGTGATGATGATGATAATCATGATGACGATGATGATGATGAGGGTGGTGATGATGCTGATGACGATGATAATGATGCTGATGCTGATGATGATGCTGGTGATGATGCTGATAGAGGTGATGATGATACTGTTGATGATGATGACGATGATGATGCTGATGATGACGATGATGATGATGCTGACGGTGTTGATGATGATTGTGATGCTGATGAGGATTATGATGATGCTGATGGTGTTGATGATGATGATGATGACGATGATGCTGATGATGACGATGATGATGCTGATGATAATGATGATGCTGATGGTGTTGATGATGATTGTGATGATGATGATGATGAGGATGCGGATGAGGGTGATGATGCTGATGGTGTCGATGATGAGGATGATGATGGTGGTGGTTGTGGTGGTGATACTGGAAGCGATTGTAATGACGGTGGTGATGAGGATGGCGGTGATTGCGATGTCGGCGGCGGCGCAGAAGACGGAGGAGGCACATATGGAGGACGAGGAAGGAGGATGGCAAACAGGAGCAGGAGGAAGGTGAGGGATGGACCATAAGCCGCAGGAGGTAGACGCGGGAGGGGTAGGACGAGGGAGGATGCACAAGAGGAGTAGGACAGCGAGGAGGAGGATGATGATGAGGAGGTGAGGAAGGCGAGGCAACACACATCGTCATCATCATCAGCATCAGCATCATCATCATCTTCATCATCATTATCGTCATCATCATCATCATCATCAGCATCATCATCATCATCATCATCATCATCATCATCATCATCATCATCATCATCATCATCATCATCCGCATTGTTATAATCATCACCATCCGCTCTGGGGCACTAGGGATGAGGGGGGGATGGCTTGGATTGTTTCTCGGCGGCGAAAGAGGTTCGACCGCTCTGTTATGGGAAGTCCTCCCCTTGGCCCTCGCGGGGGGATTAGGGCGTCCTGGATTGCCCAGGATGGTTCTAACACGGCTCCAGGTAGCGGCAAGTGTGGTATCCCAGGGGCCACCTGGAACAAAACAACCCAGCTCAATCCCAGGTTGAGGTGGGTAAGTCGGCCCTGGGCAGCTGATCCTTCCCCTTCCCTCCCAGCTGGCTCTTCTGGCAAGCGTGTGGGAGGGGGTAGTAACAAAGTGAAGGGGTCGTCGTCGTCGTCGTCGTCGTCGTCGTCGTTGTCGTTGTCGCCATTGTCGCCCTCGTCATCGTTGTCGTCGTCGTTGTCGTCGCTGTCGTCGTTGTCGTCATCGTCGCCGTCGTCGCCATCGTCGTCGCCCTCGTCGTCGTCGTCGTCGTCGTCGTCGTCGTCGTCGTCGTCGTCGTCGCGCCTCTCCTCGGAGCGTGCGCGCCCACAGGGCCTCCGTGCGCACCGGGGAGGCGTTCTACGCCTCCCTGGGCATGCAGTACCAGGAGAGGCTGCGGCAGCCCCTCGCGGGGGCGGTGGGGGCGACGAGGGGGGGAAAAGGAGCGAGGTAATTTGCACAAGCTTGCCATGGGAGGCACATTTCTCGAGACCTGGACAGACTCTTTCTCTGCAGAGGCAGCAGCATTAGCGGAATGCACGACAGTAGTGCGTAGACTGGCTGAACGTTTGGCACATGCATGATGAGCACCCACAGCGAAGTGTCCGGCTAGTCTAGGTAGACTTCAGGCCGAAGGACGAAATGAAACGAAAAGGAGCGAGGTGATGCTGATAAAGGGGCCGGAAAAAATCGTTGCGTCTTCGCCGTGGTCGTCGTCGTCGTCGTCGTCGTGGTCGTCGTCGTCGTCGTCGTCGTCGTCGGCGTCGGCACTGTCGTCGTCGTCGTCGTTGCGTCTTCGTCGTTGCGTCTTCGTCGTGGTCGTCGTCGTCATTTTCGTCGTCGTCGTCGGCGGCGGCATCGTCGGCATCGTCGTCGGCGTCGTCCCCCTCGGAAGAAGGGGGAGCGCAAGGAGGGGAGAGAGGGGAAGGGGAATAATGGAGAGGGGAGGGACTTGTTGATTTTCGGGGGAAGCGCTGGCAGGAACAACAACACCCTTTTTGTCATATCCCTTTCTCTCTTTCTATCTCTTTCTCTCTCTCTCGCTCCCTCCCTCGCTCTCCCCCTCTCGCACTATCTCTTTCTCTCTCTCTCAGTTGTTTCCTCCCTGCTCTGAAGACCCAAAATCCAGGCCCTAGGCTGACGCAGGCAGCTCAACTGTCTGTGCTCATCGCGCTGAGCCCGCTTAACATCTTCTGGCGATTTTGGGTCTTGCACATCGAATTTCCACACAGTCGATGAAGGTGGCGTTCGTGACAGCGTCGGCCTGCCGCGTGTCGTGATGTGTGGCAGGTCCTGATGAGGACTGCCAGCCACACGCCGAAGCGCTGGAGACGGACAGGACCAGGGGTGCCCGAGAAAAGGCCATGCTCAATCCCAGACCAAAGGGTGCGCGACACGGGCTTCGACGCGGGCGCAGATTACGTTCGGTATCTTCCAGTGACGCGAAGATGTTTGCAAGAACAACTGGCCATAAGCCGAAAGTCTCGCCAGAACTCGACTTCGCCGCGGGTGCTCAGCGCCCACGCGACGTTGTCGTCTTGACACCAGCCTTATCTGGCGTTTGGTCCCAGCAGTCAGAGAAGAGCAGTGGCCGCCTCAAAATAGGAAGTTTCGCGCGTGCGTTCTGGCTTTGCTGCCGTGTCCGAGTACGACGGCCCGCCCCGACGGCCGTGGAGGCCAGGACAGGCCTCTCGAGCAGCAGAGGTCGGGTGTCTCACGCCCCTGGGCCGCGGTAGGCATCTGTTCAAGGAAAAGGCAGACACCTGGCGGATGGCCACCAATGCATCAGCCGGGAAGCCGCGATGTCACGAAAGAGGGGGCAGTTGTTTCCTCTCTTCTCTGAAGGCCAAAAAGCCAAGCTCTAGGTTTTATGGCGCCAACATCGCAGAGCGGATATCATTCGGGAGAAGATAGGGTGGGCCTGGAGTGTACGGGAGAATTTCTTTCAGGATTTCGAAGTGAATTTCGTGCGTTTTTTGTTGACAGGAATAAAGACTAAACACAATCACGCGAAACTCGCCTTTTCGGGGTTTTGCATCCACGTAAATCCATGCAAAAACCGCTGCAGCACGTCTGCAAGGTCGATGCAGTGATAGGTTGACGCAGGCAATCCAACTGTCTGTGCTCATCGCGCTGAGCTCGCTCGACATCTTCTGGCGATTTGGGTGCTGCACGCAGTGATGTTTCACGCAGTCCGGAGCGGGGGTGTCGTTCGCGAAAGTGTCGGCCTGTCCAATGTGCTTGATTGTGGCAGGTCCTGATGAGGATTGTTGCCAATCGTTGAGACGCTGGAGACGGGCAGGACCAGGGGTGCCCGAGAAAGTGGGCAGATGCACTCCCAGACCAAAGGGTGCGCGACAAGGGCTTCGACGCGGGTGCATATTACGTTTGGTATCTTTCAGTGGTGCGGAGATGTTCGGCAAATAGCTGTACTTATGTCTCTCTCTCTCTCTCTCTTTTTCTCTCTCTCTCCCCTTTTTCTATGTTCCACGAGATGTACAGGTATATGTATCCATAGATGTGTATATCTATATCTATATTGTATATCGGGTGATCGCTGAAAGCTTGTAGGTTCCAGGTTTCCAAGTCAGATCTCCATACATATAGATCAAGCGCTTTCCTACGTCAGTGATCGGGCCCTTCTTTTTCCCACCGTTGTGTGGAGGAGAGCCGGGCCCACTCTTCTCTGAACGCCATGCTGCCTTTTGTATCCATCGTGGGGCCTGCGCGCGACCATCTCGCCTCCCCGTTTCTGTCGTCGTCTCCAGCTTTTTCTTCCCCGATCCCCATCCGCCATCCGCCATCCCCAGTCCTCCATTCCCTTCTCATCAACGCCGCTCCCCTATCCCTCCCCTCCCCTCCCCTCCCCGAGCACTGCTCCTTCTTAGTGGCCACCCCTTCCCCTCATGCCACGTTGTGGCAAACACTGGACTGTGTGCGGGCGCGCCATCGTCGATTTCCATCGGTTCTTGCCTGGGACGGCGGGGGTTCGACCATGTTTTCCGCTGCGCGATGGATCATCATCTTGGAAAACATCAAGTGCAAAGTGATCATGGGTGCGCACACCGTAATGCTGACCACCCGCCGTCGCTTTGCACGCTTTTGTTGGTAGATTGGGCGGATGATCGATTTTGTAGAGGCATCCGGCCCGTGCCGCCGATCAGGGACGCTCCGGAATTCTCCGTGCGAGCGCGTCCTGATTACTAGTTTGTGAATTTTGCGTCGAGGAGGTAGGAAGAAGGATGCGGAGGGAGGAAGAGGAGGGGGAAAAGGAGGATCAGAGGAGAAGGAGGAGGAGGAGGAGGAGGAGGAGGAGGGGAATGAGGATGTTGGCAGTAGGCAGTGTTGAATGTACTGTTTGGGTCGTGCCCGTCTGCCGAGCGCGACGGCGGGCTATCGCAGTTCCCTGCCGGGTTGGGTCGCTGGGCTTGGGAGCCCCAGCCTCGGCCCTGGCTGCCCCGGCCCCGGCCCCGGCCCAGGCCCAGCCCTGGTCGACTGGTCCCGGCCCTCCCGGCCCCGGCCCGGCCCCGGCCCCACCTCCCCCGGGGCCCTGGCCCTCGGCCCCGCGCCGGCCTCGCCGGCCCCGGCCCCGGCCCCGGCCCCGGCCCCAGCCGGCTGGGCCCTGACCCCGGCCCCGGGCCCTGGCCATGGCGCCCCGGTCCTGCGGCTCCAGCGCCCCGGGCCGGGCCCTGGCCCCGGCTCCGGCCCCGGCAACAAGAAAATGGCCCCTCCGGGAGGGGGAGCCATCCTCCCAGACCTCCTCGAGTCATGAAAGAATCACGACGGGCGGTTTTTCTCTATTTTCCCCCTCTGGAGGTGCTCACCGGGCCGCGGGAGCGTTGAAAAACGACTCAGGATGCAAAACCGGTCATAGGGAAAGGGTCTGGACCTCTGGGGGTCGCGTCGTGAAAAAATCATGACGTCGGGGGTCTGGGATCCTGGCCCCCCCCCCAGCAGAGCAGAAGCTCAGGGCAGCTTAGACTCGGTAGAACTCACAGGCCGGATCGGCGGATGTTGCCCTTTGCGTGCTGTCACGTGCTCTGGGGCACCTGGCGCACTGCGTGCACGTGTGGCACACCCGGCACGCCCGCAACACGTGCACACTTGGTGCAGATGGATTGCGTGGCCCATCTGGCGCGCCGGGCGCGCCTGCCATGCTGGAGCACGTGGCGCGCGTGTCGCATCTCCCGAGCGTGGCGCAACCGTCGCCTATGCCTGCCTTGGGTCCCAGAGGCTTTCCATTGGATGGCGACCGCCGCCTGTGCCAAGCCTCGGGTACTACTCATGTGGCGGGAGGGCGGCTGGGAGTGAGCAAGGCAGCTTGAGCGCTCCTGTTGGGGACTTGACTCCTACCCGTACCCCTCCCCTCCCCCTCTCCCCCCTGCCGTCCCCCTGCTCGGCACTCTGCTGCCCCCCCTCCGCCGCCTGCCCCCCGCCCGCCTCGTCTCCCCTCCCCTCGCCCCCAGACCCCCTCCGTCCCTCCCACGCCCCCAGGCACCACTGGCGCCGCTCGCTCGCTCGCTCGCCCCCACGCCGAGCGGCTGCGCCCGCGTGCCACTGCGCAGCTCCTGCGCACCTCCAGCCCCAGGAGTTCCAGGCCGAGGACTCGCAGGGCCAGAACATCATGCAGCACTACGAGACGCTCGCCAGCGCAGCCGACGCCGCGCTGGAGGCCGGCGGCCGCCTCTTCGTGCACTGCGAGGCCGGCGTGAACCGCAGCGGCTGCCTCTGCATCGCCTACCACCTGGTGCATTCGGGCGCCCCGCTGCTGGAGCACGGGGCATGCGACGATGCCCACCACCACCCCACCACCGCACTAGGACGGAGGACCACCACCACCGACACCGCCTCGAGGGGGGTTGCCCTCTGGCGTGCAGCTGTTGGAGCATCGGAGATTCCAAGCCCGCCATCACCGCAGGAATAAGATGAGGATCACCACCACCACCGCCACCACCACCACCACCAGCACCACCACCACCACCGCCACCACCACCACCACCACCACCACCACCACCACCACCACCACCACCACCACCCCCACCGGACCACCACTGGACCACCACCACCACCATCACCACCACCACTGGACCACCACCACCACCGCCGCCAACACCACCACCACCGCCACCACCACCGCCACCACAACCACCACCACCACCGCCACCACCACCACCACCACTGAACCACCACCACCACCGCCACCAACACCACCACCACCGCCACCACCACCACCACCACCACCGCTTGACCACCACCACCGCCACCGCACCACCCACCACCACCACCCACCACACCACCACCACCGCCACCACCACCACCACCACCACCACCACCCACAACCCTGGACCAAACACCACCACCACCCACACCACCACCCGCACCACCGCCACCACCGCCACCACCACCACGGCCACCACCACCGCCACCACCACCACCACCACCACCACCACCACCACCACCACCACCACCACCACCACCACCACCTCGAGGGGGGGTACTGGCGCACCGCTGCCGGAGCACCGGGGATGCGAAGCTACACGCCACTGCCGCAGGAGGCAGGAGGCCCACCACCGCCGCGACCACGCAGGCAGGAGGAGGAGGAGGAGGAGGAGGAGGAGGAAGAGGAGGAGGAGGAGGAGGCGGAGGAGGAGGAGGAGGAGGAGGAGGCGGAGGCGGAGGAGGAGGAGGAGGAGGAGGAAGAGGAGGAGGAGGTGGGGCGCCCTCGCGAAGCCTGCGCAGCCCGAAGCGGCAGACCACCTGGGCCCGTCCAGGTGGCGGTGGGCCCGGCTTCCTGCCCTGCCCAGCGCAGCAGGGCCTCCGCAGCCCCACCTCCGGCCACCCCCCCGAAGGCCTTGGTACCTAGCCACAGGAGGGGAAGGAACACGCAGACGCAATTTTTCATCGTCGATCCCCCAGAAGTCACGGAACAGATGGGAAGTGTGGGGGGGGGGGGGGGCGAAAATCAAGAAGGGGACGAAGATCCATAAGTTTTTGGAGAATGCTATATGGGAATCTTGGGATTTGCGTGCATTCTGTTCTGTGTCCCTGGGCCCCTCGCAGACGTCGGCGCCGCCCGCCCTGACCGGGAGCCGCTCTCCGTCCAGGCCTGTGCCCGCCGAGGCCCGCCGGCGGTGGCCACTCTCTCCCCCTCCGCTCTGGCCCCGCGTGCCTCGCGCGGCCCGCGCGCTCCGTGGGTCGCGCTGCTCCTTCGTGGGCGTGTCCCCTCCTCGCGGCAGACCCAGACATCGGGCGTCTCGAGAGAATCGACACGCAGGCTTTTCGTGGTTTTCGGCCCCTCGGGGCCCTCGCCGGGCCTCGGGACCGTCAAAAAAACGACTCGGGACGAAAAACCGGCCGCGGGGAAGTGGTCGGGAGGTCGGGGGCCCGTGTCTCGAAAAAATCGAGAGGTCGGATGTCTGGGAAGACTCGAGGGAGGAAAAACCACCCAGACCGGACAACTGGCGTTTGCTAAACAACCCTGGGCGTGTACTGAACAACCCTGCCCTGTTTGATTCCTCCCCTGGGTGCGCTTACTGGGCGGCTCCACGTGCCGGGGTGCTTCTTATCGGGGTGGATCTTCTCCTCAAGACTGGAGGAGTTACTTGGCCGGCTGGCCCTTCCCCTGTTCCCCCCGCTTCCCAGGGCGTGAGCTTCAGGCCTCGGAACACATTAGCGAACACTCATGCCAAATTCATCCGTCCACGCCTCCCCCCTCCCCCCAGTGTTGAAATTTGGCGGTGGGTCCGATGAGACGCACCTCGACGGCAGCCCCCCCCCCGCGCGTGCCAACATGGAGTTTGGGGGGGAGGGGGGGGGTGTTCAGCAATTGTCTCCCTCTACCGTTGCGCTCGTCGGCGCCGCGGCGCTGCTCGGGGCCGCTCCGCGGGACGCACGCGGGGCGCAGCCTCCGGCGCCCAGCGTCCCCGCATCCCTCCGCCCCTTCGCGCTACGGGGGCCCGAGGTTGGCCCCTTCGGAGGCCGGCCTCGCCGTGGCAGCGGCTCGGCCGCCCTGGTCGCGGGCGCCCCCCCCCCCCCCGCCCCGTGGCAACGGCTCGGCCGCCCTGGTCGCGGGCGCCCCCCCCCCCCTCCCCCCGCGAGCACGACCGATCGCAACCGCTTCGGACCGATCGTCAACCGCTTCGGGCCGATCGTGACCAGTTGCGATGGGTCCGAAGTGGTTGCGATGTTGTGTTGGGTCGTTGCAAGAAGGCTTCGATGAAGGAAGAGATCATAAGAGCGCTTCTGGGTGCAACGAGCTCCCTTAAGCCGCCCAATGGGAATCTGAAAAAGTGGTTGCGATCGGTCCGATCACCGACGGCCGATCATGATATCAGCTAAACACATGTACTTGAGCTCGAACGTGGCCATGATCCGAATACGGTTCCTATGTGATTCGTATACGATTGAAACCGAAACTGAGCAAAACGCCTGGTGTGAAACGGATTGCATCTCAGGAGGGGGAGGAGGAGGAGGAGGAGGAGGAGGAGGAGGAGGAGGAGGAGGAGGAGGAGGAGGAGGAGGAGGTGGAGGAGGAGGGAGGAGGAGGAGGAGGAGAGGAGAGGAGGAGGAGGGAGAGGAGGAGGATGAGGCGGAGGAAGAGGAGGAGGAGGCGGAGGAGGAGGAGGAGGAGGAGGAGGAGGAGGAGGAGGAGGAGGAGGGGGAGGAAAAGGAGGAGGAGGACTGAGGACAGGATGGCAAGGCGGAAAGAGGCGGCGGCCCAGACCCCCAACATCATGACTATTCCAGAACGTCGACCTCCACAGGTCTGGACGAATAACCCTACGGTAGGTTCGCGCGGCGTCGGCACTCGCAAGGCTTTTGGCACCGCGTCGATCGTTCAACCTCGAATCCATCGCGGCCCCGATCGTTCAAGGTTGAATGTCGTCGGGTGCAATGGCCCCACCGTGTCCCTCGGTGCTTCCGTGTCGCAGAATGCAGCCTTGACCGCCTTCGCCAACGTCGCTGGCGTGCCAACGCCGCATGAACCTACAGTAGACCAATATTACATACTGAGTCACTTTTGGACGGCCCCTGGGCCGGGGAGCCACAGGACCTGTGGGACCTGTTGGGGCCTGCGGGGCAGGCGGGAACAGTAGGATCCTTGGGACTTGTGCGACCTGTGGGAACTGTGGACTTGTGCGACCTGTGGAACGCGCGGGACCTTTGAAAGCTTTGGGGTCCTTTGTTACCACTATAAGAACCCTCTAGCGCAAAGCAACCAGGAACAAAAACATCTCAGGACGAAAAGACTTCTCGGACCGAAGTAGTTCCTGAACAGTCCGAAGTGGTTGTGATCGGTCTTATTCCCGGGCCGCTAGCGTCTGAAAGGCTTCAGAGAAGCCTCTGAAAGGCTTCAGAGGCTTCAGAGAAGCTTCTGAAAAGCTTCAGAGAAGCCTCTGAAAGGCTTCAGAGAAGCCTCTGAAAGGCCTCGCTGAGGCCTCTCAGAAGCGCCGCTGAGGCCTCGCTGAGAGCCCTGCAAAAGCTCAGCAGAACCTCTTGGATCGGTTGCAATCCGGCGTTCTTCAGAAAGGTTTGCATAGGAACCCTTTAGGCTGCGATCAGTCCGCTCCCAATGGTCGCAATCCGACCGAAGCAGTTCCTGAACAGTCCGCAGTGGCTGTGATCGGTCCCATTCATCCCCCCCCCTCCCCAGGAGAGCGCGAGGCACTGCAAGGGGCGCCGCGGGCGCATCTGCACCAACGAGGCCTTCCAGAGGCAGCTGTTCGCCTTCGCGCTGGAGCGGCGCTTGCCCCTGCGGTGAGAGAGGCCCCGTCCCGCGGTCGGCCTCCGAGCCGTTCCTGCCCCCCCCCTTCGCCTCCCTCTCCTGCCCCCCCTCCCGCTCCCTCCCCCTGCCCTCTCCCTCTCCTGCCCTCTTCCTCTCCCTCCCCTTCCCCTCGCCTCCCCTCCCCAAGCCCTGGCCTCATCCGCTCTCCCGCCTCGTCCCACTTCCGCTTCCCCCCCCCACACGCCCGCCTCTCCCTCCCCATGTCCTCATCCTCTTCTCCCCCTCCTCCGCTCCTTTTCGTAGCTCCCGCACCTCGCGCACCACCGGACGTGGCCAGAGGCCAGGCTGGGCGTTTCGCTTCAGACTTCCTTGCAACCGCTGGGTGGGCGGCGCGCGGCCTTCTACAGGGAGCTCCTGCCCGAGCGCCGCCCAGCTTCGCCCTGGCATCTTGCAGCAGCTTCAGGGCCAGAGGGACGGCGGTTGTCAGAGTGGGCCTCTCGCCACATCGCCTCCTCCTTCTCCTCCTCCTCTTCCTCCTCTGCCTCCTCCGCCTCCTCCTCTTCCTCCTCCTCCTCCTCCTCTTCCTCCGCCTCCTCCTCCTCCTCCTTCTCCTCCTCCTCCTCCTCCGCCTCCTCCGCCTCCGCCTCCTCCTCCTCCTCCTCCTCCTCCCTCCTCCTCCTCCTCTCCTCCTCCTCCCCCTCCCCCTCCTCCTCCGCCGCCTCCTCCTCCTCCTCCTCCTCCTCCTCCTCCTCCTCCTCCTCCTCTCCATCCGGTGTTCTCCCCGGGGTTGTCGCCCTGGCGCCGCCTTGGACCAAGATTGGGGCCACAGTGAGGCCTCATGTGGACATGTTTGGGCCATGCGGGCATGAGCCTCAGCCATGCTGGGCTACTTTCGAGGCCATACTGGGCTTTCCTCAGCCATCGAGGGGCCATATGGGAAAGCATGTGCGCTGCAAGGCGAAGCATGATGACGCAAAAGGCTCAAAACAGACGACCTGGCCTGCTGCGGCACCATCGTCGGACCGCCTGGGGAGGGAATCCTCGATGGAAGACGGAAGAGGGACACGTCAATTCACACACGCCTGGGGGGCTGGTGGGAGTTGGTGCAGAATTCTTGGCTGGTGGTCGATGGGTTGCCGTCCTGCCGTGCTTGCTTCGTTCTCGGTGTTGCTCATCCTTGGTTGGTTGCTCGGCTCCTTGGCCGCTCGATCGCTCGGCTGATGTTCTGTTGCACGGCCGGGTGTTCTCAGCGGCCCTGGGCGGTTTTGCCATCGGTGAGTTACGAGGTCCTCGAGCACCTCATCAGCCGCGTCGCGGCCCTGGAAGGGCAAGGAGGAGGAGGAGGAGGAGGAGGAGGAGGAGGAGGAGGAGGAGGAGAGGAGGAGGAGGAGGAGGAGGAGGAGGAGGAGGAGGAGGAGGAGGAGGAGGAGGAGGAGGAGGAGGAGGATGGGGAGGAGGCAGGAGGCAGGAGGCAGGAGGTCCTCGAGCACCTCATCAGCCGCGTCGCGGCCCTGGAAGGGCAAGGGCTCGAGATGCCGCGGGGGCACCCTGGTCGGGCCAGCGGCCCGCGACGGTGCGCAGGAGGAGGAGGAGGAGGAGGAGGAGGAGGAGGAGGAGGAGGAGGAGGAGGAGGAGGAGGAGGGAGGAGGAGGAGGAGGAGGGGAGGAGAGGAGGAGGAGGAGGAGGAGAGGAGGAGGAGAGGAGGAGGAGGAGGAGGAGAACGAGGAGGAGGAGGAGGAGGAGGAGGAGAACGAGGAGGAGGAGGAGAGATGCCGCGGGGGCACCCCGGTCAGGCCAGCGGCCCGCGGCAGCGTGCAGGCAGCGTCGCCAGGTGCCACGACCCGCCGTCAGGCTCGGGCCGTGGCCCGAGGGCCCGCGACCGGAGCCTCCACGGCGTTGCTTCCCGTGTGGAAGGGGTTCAGAAGAAGAGGAGGTAGAGGAGGAGGAGGAGGAGGAGGAGGAGGAGGAGGAGGAGGAGGAGGAGGAGCATGAGCTGCGTGCAGGGCACCCCTGTTCCTGACCGCCCTGGGCTGCATGCCCTGCGGGGTTCACCCAGCACTGGCCCTCTCTCCCCCTCTGCGGCCCCCAGTCGCTCTCTTCGAATGACTTTTGTTCCTAGACTCGGCGCCGGTGTGCAGTTCGCAGTGTGCTGCTAGCACGGCCCTCTGTGGGGCCTCTGCGACAAATGGCCGCAGAGGTGGGGGAGCGCTGCTGCAATCCCGCCCATCCTGCGTACGCTTAACTGCGTACGCAACCATCTTGCCAGGAGCTGATCTCATAACGATCTTCACATGACGCTCAAAGACCCGGGGCGGTCCTTTCTTCTTCAATCCAGCCACGCAAATTCGCCACCAAGCTTGGGGATGCACCACACGTGTACGTTGGCACAGGGCACGGGTATACACAGGAGCGCGCGTTTGTTTAGACAACAGTGTGGCCCAGCAGCCTCCCCCTTTCATCGAAGGCCCGCGAAGCCCCAGGGTGGCTGGCTTCGGTCTATTTCTGATGGTGCTCCTCGGCAATGCCTGGCACCCGGGCTGCGCACCAGCATGCATCCTTCGCCTTCGCCTGGGCTGCCCGTCTGACTGGGCAGCTTCACTGGTCGCTCCAGCTTAGCTGTTTTCCCATCCACTCGCAGGCCCTGGGAGTAGGAGGAGGAGGAGGAAGAGGAGGAGGAGGAGCACAACCTGTGGCCCCCATCAGCCGGCATTCTGCGCCTGACGCCACGGCGGCGGCTTGCCCCGAGGTCACGTCCGTCTTGTTTTTCGTGCTCCGCTTCGACGTCACACCAGCTTCTGGCGCCCGAAGCCGCCTGCGCGCGGCCGCCTCGTCGCTTCTCGACGGTTGGGCCTTCGTCCCCCTCCGTCCGTCCTTCTCCTCCTCCTCCAGCTGCTCGAGGAATCCCCTGCTCCAGCGCAGCATCCACCCTCTACCGTACCCTCACTTCTCTTCTGGCGTTCCGCCCGCCAGGAGCTGAACGCCTCGGGGGACGCGGGCCTGGGGCACGACGTGTGCCCTTCTAGGCCCGCGGATGGCGGCGCCACGGATCGCGGCGCTTCGCGTGGCCCTGTACAACCCGCTCTCGATCCTGGAGGCCCAGAGGCTGAACCACATCTGGCGTACAATACGGGCTGGCATCCTCCTCCTCCCGGGGACTCGTATGAGAGCCACGAGGGGCCAAGCTGTCACAAGGATGTCTCTGGGCGGGGGGGCCTTCGCCCTGAACGCGGGGTGGTGCCCAAGACCATTCTCGAACAGTTCGGCTGGATGCACCATCTTGATGGGGAACACGTTCAGGGCCAACATCAGGAGCATCAACACCCCCCAAGAAGCGGCCCAAGGACGAGGCCTAGCTGTGCGTCTTCGGAGTCGTAGTGTGGACTTGAGTGCGGTTTTGTTGTGTGTCCCTCCCATCGGGGATGCGTCGGCAAAGACACGTAAGGTTCTCGAGAAGGGTTCCACACAGGTGGTAAGATGGGGCATCGAGCAGGTTCAGAAGGCTCCGATGAGGTCTACTCCTATTTTCGCGGGGGGCTTCAACACTCAGATGGGCCTCAGAGGGGGTTCGCGCACGCATTCACCATCCACTTCATCGGAATGCTGGCAACAGGAGCGGCCCCTGACATGATAGGTAACTTGATCCAGGATGAGTTGTTGGCCCCTCTCGAGATGTATGACGCGGTCACTGCCGATAGACAGGGAGGACCCACGTACTATCATTATACTGGACACACGAGCACCCTAGATCACATCTTCGTACCACAGGGGCTCCGAGATCAAGTTTCGGCTCGTAAGGTCTTGTGGGGCCCCGCGAAGCGCCTTCCCGTCCCAGCAGCCCAGAGATCATGTCCCGATCTTGTTGCGGATAACTGTAGCGAAGAAGTGCGAGCATACGCCGGCCAGGGACGAGAGATGGGATGGCCATCGGCTCGCCGCGGCAGTTCAGCGCGGAGAGGACAGACAAGAGTTCCTCGACGAGCTGGAGACCGCGATGGCTGCACATGAGCCTCGCATGCAGCAGCATATACACAGGGGTGAGCTTGACCAAGCATGGCAAGGATGGTTCGACGCGGTACGCATGACGGGAAAAACACACTTCGCACAGAAGCCCAAAGAGGTGGACGCTTCAGTGGCAGCGATGAGAGCGAGACGATTGGAGTTGGTTAATGTACGACGCGGGCTGAGAGTATACTTACGCGACGTTGGCGAAACACACGCACTTCAGAGTGTGGCTCAAGCGTCTCCAGCCGGGATTTGCCCCGACAGTTTTTGTCATAGCGTTTTTCGCGGACAAGCACTTCAGAGACGGGAAGAGATCATCGTGTCTTCGGAACAGGAGAATCGATTGCTAGAGATTGACACACATACTACGACGGCTGGGGGGGGATTCGAGATCAGAGACACAGTGCCTCACGACTACGACGAGAGATGGACATCTTTTCGCTTCACATGTAGACCGCCAAGGCCAGGGCAGTGCAGGATCACAGTTGCCGATGAGGAGAGTTTCGCCTATGAGAGTTCCTTTGGATCAGCTGGAAAATGAGGCTGATGCAGTGAAAGAGGAGTTGAGACATATCAAACATACACTTCGAATGGAAAGCAGGAAAGCATGGTCCTGCCGAGTAACGGCGGCGACGACACCAAGAAGGAGTTCGTCCGCCAGGTCAGGCGCCGCGAGACCGATGGCGGCGCCCAGTCCGCCCAGAAGAGCTGCGCCGGCATCGGCCCGCGCAGCAAGTCCCTGCACGTGCTGATGATGAAGATGCTGCTGTCATTCGCCCAGAGTCATCGGAACATCGAGGGGGTGCTGTTCGACGTGCGGATCGCCCCGGCCGACCCCCCAGAGGTGCTGGAAATGCAGGAGCAGGGGTCGGCCTACAACGCGCAGGCCCAGGCCAAAGGCAAAGGACACGGGTTTGGAGCGCCACATGTGCACGTGTTCGAGGGGCTGCTGGAGGCGCTGCTGCTGCGCCAGATGAGCATCGGCAAGGCGAACTACGACGCCCTGCAGTCGTTTAAGCAGCGCCTCGCGACGCTCGGATACGACGAGAAGATGGACATCATCCGCTTCACCGAAGTAGGCCGCTGCTACAACCAGGGCAAGCGCAGGATCACGCTGTGCTCGGGGGAGTGCCGCAATGAGGTGATCGGCGCCCTGCAGCAGCTCGGAGCGGAGCTGGCTGAGCTCCAGCCAGCCACATGGAGCGCGAGCTGCAGGAGTGGCAGGAGATCTCTTGGCGTGGGAGGAGTTGAGATCATCATGTCTTCGGATCGTCCTGAATCGATTGCAAGTGTGCCAGAGATTGACACACATCACTCGGCGGCTGTGGGGGATCCGCAAACGACCGACGTACATGCCAGAGGATCGACGACTTCTGAGATGGCTCGGAGCACCGTCCTGCCCGTTTTTTTGGACACAAGAGGAGTGGATACGAGGAGGAGGCATTCGCCGATGAAGACGACTTCTGGATGTTCGGGGTCACACATGCCGAAGGGGAGAGTTTCGCCGATGAGAGTTTCTTCGGGATCTACTGGATCACAGATGCCAGTGAGGAGATTTTCGCCGATGAGAGTTTCCTCGGGATCTACGGGTTCACTGATGCCAATGAGGAGGATTTTGTCGATGAGGTTTTCCCCAGGGCCCACGGGACCCCAGATGCCAAGGAGGAGTTTTTTGCCTCAGAGAGTTTCTTCATGATCTACTGGACCGCAAGCACTGATGAGGATCATCTCGACCCACCCTTCATGGAGACGATGACCAGAGGTGCCACGATATCGGAGAGTGCTGAGGCCCGTAGGTATATGATGAGACGTGGTGGTGAGGCCCCCGAAGGGGCAGAGAGGTGGAGAAATACCCGAGAGCTTTAAGAGTTGAGGAGGGCACAGCGAGATGGCAGGCGTTGAGTAGGAGCAGGCGCGTTTTAGTTTGGGTGCGTAGAGGGTAGTTGTGCAGGGGAGTCCGTGGGCCTAGATTCGGGTAGCTCGTGCTCGGGTCGGGGCCCCGGGCGGTGCACCAGTTTTTCGGTGTAGCTTTGGGGCCAGTGTCCCCCAGGTGTTTTGGATCCTCCCCTCGAGGATAGCCTCTGGGTCTTTGAATGTCTAGGTGATAGACGGACCTGGCCCCCACGGAGTGTTTCTTCTTCTTCCTCCTCCTCCTCCTTTTCCTCCTCCTCCTCCTCCTCCTCGCCGTTCTCCTCCCCCCCAAACCTCCCCCTTCTCCTTCTCCTCTCCTCTCCTCCTCCTCCTCCCTCCTCCTCCTCCTCCTCCTCCTCCCTCCTCCTATGTCGCCTCCTCCTCCTCCTCCTCCTCCTCCTCCTCCTCCTCCTCCTCCTCCTCCATTCGCCTCCTCCTCCTCCTCCTCCTCCTCCTCCTCCTCCTCCTCCGTGTCCTCCTCCTCCTCCTCTTCCTCCTCCTCCTCCTCCTCCTCCTCCTCCTCCTCCGCCTCCGCGGCGCGCCTCCGCCCCTCCGCCCGCATTCGTGCGCTAGCGCCCAGCCCGGCCCGCCGGTCCTGCACAGACGCGCTTGCGCTCGCCGGCGCTGTCGATGTAAAAGGCGCTTGTCTGGCGCGTAAGTGTCGTGTCATTCGGCCTCCTGCCCGCGAGAAGAAGCGACGTGGACCAGTGCGGGGTCGAAATTGTCAAGCTTTGAGTGGTCTTAAATCGGGCGTGTCCCTTTGCAGGAGGACTTTTCAAAGATAGTCAAAAAATAGGTTGGGGATAATTTGTGAACTATTTGGGAGTATTATTGAACATGTTTTGACGTGTTTTTATTTTTCGTCTACAGTCCGCCTGTAGGGGGACATGCCCGACCTGAGACTGGTCTGGCAAGGAGCAGCCGAGATGTTGAAGGCCACCGTGCGTTCTGCAGTGTCTTGAGGGCTGCGGGCAATGAGACTACATGCTAGCCGGGCCAGAACTTAATCAGGCGGTTGGTTGCTGTCAGCCCTGCAGTCGATTGACGATTGGTCGCGCATGGAAACAGGAGCATGATGCGGAGGAGGAAGAGCGGGAGGAGCAAGATTGCGGGAGTGAGTGTGATAATGGGAGTAGTAAGGCTGCTGATGACGACAATAGTGATGAGGATGATGAGGTTGATGGGGAAAGGAAGGGTCGAACGAATAAGACTGCAAGGAGGAGAGCAGGACGTGAGGGAGGAACGAGGATAGAGGCAAGATCGACACGCTCGCGCCGTATCTGACATCATACTCGTGCCTCCCATCCCTTACCTTTCAGTTGTGCGCCCTCGATTCGCAGAGTCGAATGTCAAAGAAGACATGTATTCCGAACCTGTTTGACTTGAAGCGCGACAAACGCTGACGCAGGAATGCCACCACTTAAATTGATGTAATCGTATTATCAGCGAGACGGCCATAACATTATCTGGGGGATGGAGGCTCTGCGGGACTTTCTGCATGTGGCAAACGCTGCAACGGGATTTACGCTTTTACGGAAGGAAGTGCACGGCCAGCGTTGCAGCGAGAACGTCGTTTCATTGGATGGCAACTTCCTGCAGATTCTGAAACACGTGGCAATCGTTTCAGTGGGAGCACCGGCGTTGCTGACGAAGGAGTGCGGCCGCGTCGAGAGCGTCGTTCCGTTGGACGGAGGATTTCGATGGAAATCGCTAAATGTTATCAGCTCTGCACCACAATTTTTGCGGTCTGATTTGTAAGCAGCCGTGTCGAACAAACAACACTTTTGAGCCATCCTGCAGGTAAGGAAGCTGCGTGCGGGGGGCAGGCAGGGGACAACGAAGGCAATCTCAGGGGCTATTGGGGAGACGTGCTCTTGCTGAGCAACCGTAGAGTGGAGCGAGGGGGAAGGAGATAGGAGGGAGCAGGAAGCAAGGAAGAGGGAGCAGGACAGAGGGCGGGGTGGGAGGCGGTGCGGGTGGGCCTTCCTGGAGGAGGATGGATGGTGGGACGAGGGGCATCGACAAATCGGGAGGAGGGGGGGGAGAAGGCTGGCACGAGCCTGACGAGGCTCGGAGCGGACAGTTCGGGCGCACAAGAGCAGCGCCCTCCAGCACGGACACTCCTCCTCCTCCTCCTCCTCCTCCTCCTCCTCCTCCTCCTGCTCCTCCTGCTCCTCGTGCTCCGCCTCTTCCTTTGTGCCGGCGCGTCCTTCCAAAGCTCTGCGTGCGCCGTCCTCGGAGCGGACAGTTCGGGCGAACAACGGGACGGGCGCCCCGCGCCGCCCCGCCGGAGCGCGACCCGCCGTCCCCAGGCGCTGCGGCGGAGGCCCAACGCTCCTCCAGGAGAGCGTTGTGCCGTCCCCGCGGCTGTCTCGCCCCGGGCGCTGCGCGGCACGGCGCAGCGAGGGCGGGCCATGTTAGAGCACGATTTTTTTTGTTTTTGATCCGCGGGTCGAGACTTGGCATCGCTCGGACGTGTGCGTCTTTTCCTCGGCGAGGACCATCAAGGAGCATCCTTGATCATTTGGCGAAAAACCACGCACGAAACCGAAAAAAGCACAGGAAATGGACGTCCGAGCGATGGCCAGGAGGGCGAGCCTCTTCCGGTCGAGGCTAAGCGGGCCGCGCACAGCTTTGAGTGACAGAGGGAGGGGAACAGAAGGAGGGACCTCACGTCGAGGCCAAGAGAGGGCACGGGCCATGCAGAGCACGAGGCGCGAGGAGGAGGAGGCGAGCGGCGCGCGCGCGCGCAAGGATGGAGTGTGCGGATGCCGTTCGCCACTGTGGGGCGGGAGTAGGGTGGAGCGATTGCACCGCGTTCGCCACCTGCCCGCTCTGATTCCTGCAGAGAGCATCGAGCACGTCCGCGGAGCGCAGCGGGTCAGTCACACCGTCCAGCCTTTGTGAAGACCACCGGGGACTGCCAAAAAGAGTTGAGTACCGCCAGCGATTGAAACACAAAGGAGGCTTGACGGGCGTGGGCCAACCCAAGTCTGGAGAGGGGAGGGAACCAGGGGCTAAGCAGGTTGCGACGCGGGGAAGCCAGAGTGGAGCACACCAACTACGCCCTACAACAGGAGCGCCTGATAGACAACTCGAGCTCTAGAGGCGAAGCGCCAAAAGACAGTTATAATAGAAGTGCGGAGTGTCCTGCGAAAACCAACTGCGATGCCACCTCGAGAGTCCGCGCGGGCTGGAATGCCCGGGGGCGGGGGAATATGTGCAGAGGTAAACGGGGGCGACCGACGACAAGAGGGATCTGAAGCAGTGCACAAAAACGAGTGCAGCGCCCGCAGCAGGTGCATGAGAAGGAGGGAGGAAGGCGGAAGGAGGAGGGAGGGGGCACCAACATGGCGCCGTCTTTCAGGATTACCTCGGCACCTGATCGATCCGCTGTGATATCTGCATGGCCTCAGAACCCGACCAGGACCTGCACGCCCGATGCATTCTCTCCCAAGTCAGATTCTCCACAGCGAGGCTGCACGACAGCACCATCGAAGCCACGACCGCGGTGGCAGTGTTGATGAACTGGTCCAGGGATATTCGCAGGTCGTGCAGAAACACATGAACTGCGCCCAGTCGGCAACAAGAGCCAGAGTGGCCGAAGCCGCGCGGGGAGAAAGGTCCTGGGGCAGCACCCAGAACGCGACGAAGGCCACGAAGTAGTGACTGCCGACGGCCTGCAACTGGTACTCGAGTAACTTGACGGAGAACTGCAGCACGAGAAGCACTATGGACGACGAGATGCGACTTGGCGGCGAGAGCACGGACGCCAGAATCGCGCTCGCGTGGAGCGGAGCTGCTCCCTGCGCGCGCGCCCTTCAGTACGCCTGGCTCCGATGTGTGGACCTGGAGGGGAACCACGAGGGGCATGAGCAACTCGCACGCGAACGTGCAAAGCAACTCGCACGCGAACGTGCAAAGCAGGACCTGAAGTATACTGACAAACCAGTTGCGGACCGCCGACGCGGACAGCTGCAGCTTCTTGGTGCCACAGGACGCATGCGCCTTCTAGCCGAAGACGTATGTCGTGCTTTGACTGAGGCGCTAGCGAACTGGCCCTGGGACCGCGCGCTGAGCCCATCGCAGACAACACTGTGGGCGACTTGGCAGCGCGCGCCGCAGCTCACGCACTGCACCGTGCCGGCCGCGAGGACCTCGAGAAGGACGCCGAGGTCAGGCGGGATGAGGGCGAACGTGCAGCCCGCGGGCTGCAGGGCGTGCACTCTTTGGCTCGCAACCGCCAGCGGACAGCCGCGCGGCGTCGTGAAGTCGTGCGAAGAGCGCAAGCCAGTGTAAGAGCACAGCGCGGCTGTCGCCCGGCGAACGCGGAGAAAGGACGGGGCCGCCAAGCAGAAGCGGCGCTCGGGCGGCGAAAATGGTCAGGCGACGCACCACGGCACCGCACGCGAGGCGGGGGAGGACGAGGAGCCGACGAGACGGCGACGAGGACGACGAAGGGGGGGAGCAGGGCGTGCACAGCCAGCATGGACATCATCTCGTCGGAGAAAGACCCTTGGCATCGCTCGGGCGTGTGCCTGTTTCCTTCGGCGAGGACCCTCGAGGAGCATCCTTGAGCACTTGGCGAAACAACCACGCACGAAGCCGAAAAAAAAACACAGGGAATGGACGTCCGAGCGATGGCCCAGCAGACCCCCATCGCCCCCGGCACGCGGTCGGCCCCGGCCACGGCGGGCAGGTCGGCGCGCAGGAGGCCGTGGCACGGAATGGGGGCGGCGGAGAGGGGCGGGCCTCTCGCGCACGGAGCCCTGAGGCGGGCGGAGGGAGGGGGGAGGAGGGAGTGACGATGGTGCTGATGCTGATGCTGATGATGCTGATGATGATGCTGATTATGATGCTGATGATGATGATGCTGATGGTGATGCTGATTATGATGCTGATGATGATGATGCTGATGATGATTTTGATTATGCTGATGATGATTTTGATGATGATGATGATGATGATGATGATGATGATGATGATGATGATGATGATGATGATGATGATGATGATGATGATGGCGATGGCGATGGTGATGATGGTGGTGATGGCGATGGCGATGATGATGAAGATGATGATGAGGATGCTGATGATGATGATTATGGTGGTGATGGCGATGGCGATGATGATAATGATACGGAGGAGGGGAGGGGTACTGTTGATGATGATGGTGATGATGATGATGCTGATGCTGATGATGATGGTGATTCTGAGTATGTTGGCGGTGGTCGCGGTTGTGATGTTGGGTATGATGGTGGTGAAGAGTTGATGATGATGATGGTGATGATGGTGCTGGTGGTGATGATGATGATGCTGATGACGACAATGCTGACGATGGTGATGGTGGTGATGAGGATGATGAGGGTAAGGATGATGATGATGACGATGAGGATGCTGATGTGGATGAGGATGCTGATGTGGATGAGGATGATGATGTTGAAGAAGAGAATGAGGATGGGGATGAGGATAAGGATTGTGTTGATTGTGATGGTGATGATGATGGTGATGGTGACGACGATGGTGATGGTGATGGTGATGGTGATGGTGATGGTGATGGTGATGGTGATGATGGTCATGGTTGTGAGGAGGGTGATGATTATGATGATCATGTAATAACGGTGACGAAGATGATGGTGATGCTGATGATGATGACGATGAGGTAATTATGATGGTGATGGTGGTGGTGGTGAAGGTGGTTGTGGTGATGATGGTAATCTAGATGATGATGACGATGCTGATGCTAATGATGATGATGGTTGTTGCTGATGATGTTGTTGTTGTTGATGCTGATGATGATGATGCTGGTGACACTAACGATGATGACGACGACGATGCTGCTGCCGATCTTGATGATGTTGATGGGTGGTCGTGGTGGTGGTGGTGATGATGATGATGATGATGATGATGATGATGATGATGATGATGATGATGATGATTGTGATGATGAGGAGGTGGAAGAGCAGGAGCAGGACGGGGCTGGGGAACAGGATGAGCAGGAGGAGGCGGGCTGAGGGAGTAGGGAGCAGGTGCGAGGGCGCCTGGTCTTGCGCCCGCAGCTGCTCTGCCGGCTCAGCGGTGGCGGGTGCTGCGAGCAAAGCATGGCCGCGGGAAGCAATTTGCGCGGCCACGACTCTCGCAGCGAGGAGCTGGCATGGGAGGGGCCCGCCCCCTGCATTTCCTCCTCCTCCTCCTGCTTGTGCCTCCGCCGCCTTCTTCCTCCCCTCCCTCCTCCTCCATTTCCCTCCCTCCTCCCTCCTCCCTTCTCTTCCCGCCTCTCTCCTCCTCCCCTCCTCGTCCTCCTCCCTCCGCCCTCTTCCTCCATCCCCTTTCATTATGAATAACTCCTCCCTGTCGCGCCCACCGGCGTGTCGGCTGGGCGTTCGGCCTGAGACTTCCTCACCGCTTATGATCCTGGAAGTTTGACATGTGCAACCGCTTCACGGATGGGGGCGTGTCCTTTTCAACATGTGTTTTTCGCTGCAGCGCCGCGCACACTCCTTGTTGAGGTGCATTCTCCTCCTACATCCTCCCTCTCCCCTCCTCCCTCCTCCCCCCTCATCATCATTATCCTGTTCCTCGATCCCCGAGCGGTATGTTGCGAACAGGCGACTGCTTCGAGTCTGGTGATTGGAATTTGCCTATGCTTTCTCCCGTGGTCCTTGTTGCAGCCGCGGCGCATCTGAGAGCAGCCTTGATTCGGTAGAGGGAAACAATTACTGAACACTCCCCCTCCCCACCAAACTCAATGTTGGCACGCGCGGGGGGGACTGCGGTCGAAGTGCATCTCATCAGACCCACCGCCAACTTTGTTGAACATTGGGGGGAGGGGGCAGACGTTGACTGATGAATTTGGCATGAGTGTTCGCTAACTTGTTCCGAGGCCTGTTGCACGCAGCATCTCGAGAGAGAGGTTGGCACTCCACCGCCGCATCGCGACTCGCCGTCGGTGCTGCGCCGCCGTGGAGCTCCAGGGAAAGATTGGCCTCGAGCTCTCTTGGCCAGCGGGCCCCCGCTCGCGAGAGAAGCCTCGAGAAGAGGCGGCGCCGGGCTCCCGGAAGGACCCCCACCGCGACAGGGGCGGCGGCCTGGCGGCCGAGGTTCGGCGGCGCGTGCGAGGGGGGGCAATGAGGAGGAGAAGGCCCTCTCAGAGGGCGGCGGGGCTTCTCAGAGGCCCTCGCACCTGCTGAGGAGTGTTCTCTGTCGTCGGGGAAGGCTCAGGAAAACTTCTCAGAAGGCCCGGGGACTTCCGAGCCTTCTGAGAAGGCCCGCCCCTTCTCGCTTCCCCCCCTCACCCGCCGCCTAGAGACGTGGCTGAAGAGCGGCATGATGATCCCTCTGGCGATGAGACCGGCCTTCGGCCGTGGCCCTCTTCCGCATGCTCTTGCTCGCGCTGATCAGCTGAGCGGGTCTCTGAACAAAAAAGGCCCAGCATGTTCGTACATCTCAATCGACATGGCAATAGATCTTCCACTGCACTGTGCTGAGCATGGTCTTCCCTCCAGTTCTGCAGGATCTAGTTCAGCGTCGTTTGCTTTCTCACTTTGATACCGATTTCTCGGAGTTCGATGCTTCGAAGCAGACCTTGTTAGCAGTCCCAATGGCTTGGGCCGTCATTGGGGTAAGATTACAAACGCGAAAATGCAGCGCGGAGCTCAGTGCATACACGGCTGTCCTGGAAATCGAGATATGGTACATTTCTATAGTATTGAATGCTGCAGGTGCCATCATTTCGCGGCACTTGCCCTTCGGTGTGACCTGCTTGGTGATGTTCGTTGTCGGCTGGGTCTTGCTGGTGGATGTCTAAGCTTCCCCGTGGCTATGTACCACCATCATCGGCTCATGTGCCACAGGCACGCGCACCCGCTCGAGTACACCGAAAGCCTGGCGCTGGTGGAGGCCACTCGCGTCGCGATTCGTCTCCCTCTCAGAGGCGCCCAGAGGAAATGGAATTCGGAGGCAGGATCTGCACCAAGTGGTGATGGAGGCGGGGACAGAGACACCGTGCAGGGACTCGCCGTCTTCTGAGGGTAAGGATGAGGCCAGCCGCAGCTCGAACTCGGACGAGTCGTCCTCCCGTCCGCCTGCTTTGCACTCGTCTCGCCCTCGCTTTCCGCCGCCCCCTCCTCCGCCTCTCGCCTGCTTGCCCCGTCTTTTTCGAAGCAGCTCGGCAAGCTTGACGCGAGCACGTCGCAGTAGCGGCGGCAGCCTCGAAACAGCAGCTGAAGTTGGTACATCGCATTCCTCCACTGTCGTCGCCCCTCGAGCCTCAATGTTGCCCATTCGGGTCAGAGGATGCGCAAGCAACCGAAGTCCGAAGGGAGGTGAGCGTGCAGGAAGGAACTGGCCATTGGGTACGCTCCGCCGCCTCCTCATCCTCCTCCTCTTCCTCCTCCTCCTCCTCCTCCTCCTCCTCGTCCTGTCCGTCGACATGTTTGCTAAGAGCTACAAGGCCGCGCCGCTCGGAGGGGTCACCTCGTGTGCTCGGCTGCCCGCCGCGGAGCGGGAATGCGCCACTGCGATGCTGCGGAACGCAGCGCTATTTTTCGTGCGTCGCCACCTTCGAGTGGGAACTGCTGCTGCGGAGATGCATCGCTGCCGCTCCTGGGTGGCCACTCCGGCAGGCGGGTTGCCATTGTCAGGTGCCCGAGCCCGCCGCCGTGAGCGGGACCTCTTCTATCTGACTTCGCACGGTTGTCCTGACCGCTCTTTCGTGGATGTTGACGCCATCGGCCGTGCCGACATCAAACGGGTGGCCTGGGGAACGGCACTCCATCGTCAATCGAAGGTTGCTGGCCTTCGTGCGGGCGTCTTTCCTTCCTTCTCTTCCGGCAGGGTGGCGGTTCGTCCCGCCCTGCGCCGTGGTGGGCTTTCTCAGGGCGCCCATGCGCAAACACGAGTATCGCAGGCCTGGAGGTTGACACCAACACCAAGATCCTCGGTGTGCCTCCACCGAGGGAAGAAGATCCCGATCTCGGTGATGGTGGTAATATTCTGGCTTCCAAGGTGGCCGAAATATTACCACCACCACCACCACCACCGAAATCGAGGATCATCTTCCCCCTGTGGAGGCACCCCCCCGTGTTGGTGTTGGTGCCAATTTCCACGCCTCCAAGAGTAATGCTGGAACGCGCGGGCCGTGCTAAGCATGTTCGTGGCTCGAAGACGTCTGCAGCGTCGCCTGCGTCCTGCGAGGTGCGGCCCCGAGGGGTGCGTTGCCCCTCCTGCGGCCGCCGCGTCGGCCTGGGGGGCGGCTTTCGGCGAAGTCCTGTCGGTGGCGGCTGGCGGCTGCGACGCTGCTAATGGTGCCGGGTGTTTGTCTCGCACGTCCCATGGTGAAGAGGCTAGGGAGGAGGAGGAGGAGGAGGAGGAGGAGGAGGAGGAGGAGGAGGAGGAGGAGGAGGAGGAGGAGGAGGAGAGGGGCGCCCAGTTCGCCAAGCTGGGTGGTCGCATCTGCCAGCTGGGGAGTGCACTTGAGCGTCTTGACTTGGAGGTCGGCTGCGCGGGCCTCCCTGGGCCACCTCGGCTCCTCGCTCGTGGCGCCCGGGGCGTGGAGTGAGCTTCCCGCGCGAGCCCTGGCGCCGTGTGCCGGGCCTCTGCCTGGCGACGTGCTCCCACCGAACGGCCAGGGAGCTCCCCAGAGTGTCTGAAGGCGATGGCGGTGCCGCCCCTTCCGCAGGTCCTCGGCTTCTGCTGCCGCTCGGTTCTGGAGATGGGCCCGGATAGTTCGCTTGTCAAAACCTGCCGTGTCGTCCCAGCGTGCTGCAGTCTTTGCGCCGGCAGCTTTCCTTCGCACCTCGGCGGCGTTTCGGAGGCGGCTGTGCGCCTTGAAGATGGGAGGCTCTCTGCAGTGCCTCCTGGGTTTGACAGCGACTCCTCTGGCCTCGACGCTGCGGCACGCTGGCTCTACTGGCAGTGCGGCTCCCGAGATTTCGGGGATCATGAAAATGGCCGCAGTTGCGAGCGATGCCGACCTGACCCGCCTCCACATTCTGGAATAATTAGTTGGAGAAAGACCGCGTCGACCTCCACCACCTGTACATCCTACTTGCCCAGGAGCAGACCGACCAGGATACTACTGGTGTTCTTTTGCGCGATGCCACATCTGGGGTTGAAGGAGAACCGCGCGGCGCTGGTGGTGCTCAACCTGACCTTCGGCTGGCTCTTCTTGGTGGCGAGGCTGCTGACTGCGGTGTGCGGGGCCGTGCTGGGGCGCGGGGCCGCGCTTGCGATCGGGGCCGTGCTGGACCTCGGGGTCCTGCTGTGGACCTGGACCGCGCTGGGGATCGGGACGATACTGGGCAACGGCGCCGTGCTCGCGCTACCCTTGGACGAGGGCTGGAGACAGCAGCTGATGCGATGAAGGGCTGCACAGGTGCTTGCGCTGGCCAGGTGCAGAAAGTGCCACGTGGCAGCGTAACGATCAATGTCGACTCCCTGACCCACGTTTTGCCTGTCGTTCTCGCGCGTCCCGCTGCGGAAGCTGCTGCTGGCGCTCTCCCTGGCGTTTTTCCCGATCGTGCCGCGCCTCCTGGACCTCGTCATGACCGCGGCGGCGTCCTCTGTGCTGTCGGTGACTCTGCTTGCGGCCAGGGCGATGACGGCTTGGCTGCCGACCGCGATCAACACGTTGCGCGCTCCAACGACCTAGGTGCGCCGAGTGCTCAGACCCCCTTCCCTGTTCAAGCGGGCGGCCACGGAGGCGAGGCTCCCCTCGCTGCGGGCGTCCTGCGGTCCGACCGACGCACCGCGGCCGTGCTGCCAGAGGCGGGTCAGGAGCGCAGGCTTCTCCGATCAGAGACTTGGCGCGCAGGTTGCTGTTCTCTGTGCGCCCGCTCAGGCTCTGTGGTTTGATTCGGCCAGCTCGCCAATATGAGTTTCAAGACGTACAAGTTCTCAAGAAAGGAGGCCGTGTGTCATCGGGATGCGCTGCGCAGGGCCTTGAACAAGATCAGAAGCGCACGCCCCGACTTCCTCCCCGACAGCGACACCATCCTGCGCGACCCCGTCCACCACGACGGCTCTTTCTACTTCGGCGTAGGCTACGTCGGGTCCGCCTTCGAAGGCGGTTTCCAGTTCGACGTCTCGGCCCCCATGGTGCCTATCTTCAACGGCCTTCTGCTGGCCCACAACGACTCGTTTGGCCTCCCGCAGAACGTGCCCCACAGCCTGATGAGAGGCGGGTGCGGGAAGGAAGGAGGTCCAGGCGCCTGTCCAGGAAGGAAGGAAGGAAGGAAGGATTGCTCTAGGGTCGCCCGCTCCTCCTCCACCTCCTCCTCCTCCTCCTCCTCCTCCACCTCCTCCTCCTCCTCTCCCCCCCCCTCGACGACGCGATCCACCCTGTTCTATTGGATCAGTGCCCCTTTCACAGGTGCTCGTGCCCGCGTGGTGCCGTACCCTTTCCCCGTAGGCGTGACGCGCTGCAGTGGGTCACTTGAGATCTTCGCCCTTCTCTTCGCTGCGTCTGCTGCTGGTGCGCTCGCCCTGGCTGCGGTGGAGCGTCGCTCCTTTCCCTCCTCATCCTCCTCCGCCCGAGTTCCTCCCCTCTTCCCGCCTCTTCCCTCCTCCCTTCCTCTCTCATCCCTCTTCCTCTTCCTCCTCCTCCTCATTCCCCCTCCTGTTCCCCTCCCTTCCTCCCTCCCTCCTCCTCCTTTTCATCCTCCTCCTCCTCCTTTCCTTCTCCTCCTCTTCTTCCTCCTCCTTCTCCTCCTCTTCCTCCTGCTGTCGCACCCCTCGACGCGTGGGCCGGGCGGGCGGGCGGGGCTCTGAGCCTGAGACGCCCTCACCGCTCACGTTTCTGAGGCGGGAGCCGTGCAACATTTTCACTGATGAAGAGGCGTGCTTTCAATGCGTGGTCATCGCTTTAGCGCCGCGCACGTTCGTCTTAACAGTTCGCTGCAGTTTCCATGGTGGAGGGCGGCTTCTTTTTCAAAGTTTTGCTCTCGCCGCAGCGCCGCGCACATGCGTTTTCACAGTTTTTGCCCGTTTCAAGATGAAGGGCGTTTTTTGTTCAAAACAAGTTGTCGTCGCATTAGCGCCGCACGCACTTGTTTGAAATGTTTACGACCATTTCAATGATGGAGGAATGGCCGTTTTTCAGTTTGTGGCTTTCGCAGTAGCACCGCGCACACCCGTGTTGACATTTAACAGCAGTTGAAGGGATGGGGGCGGGTGGTTTTCAAAACGTGGCTCTCGCTCTAGCGCGTCGCACATTTGTTTCAAAGGCGTGCGGCAGCTTCAAGGATGCAGGGTGGCTCCTATTCAACATGTAGCTCTCGCCTTGGCGCCGAACGCTTTCGTTTCACGGGCTTGCAGCCGATTCACGGATTCGCGCAGTTGGAGTCCCAGGAATTGTGTCCTGGCACGGTTTAGGATTGCCAGGACGCGACCGTTGCGTTGATTCGCGGCTTTGGCGTCCCGGGGGTGGTGCTCAACAGTCACGTCTGTTCGCGGCGCTGAAGTCCCAGGGTTTGTGTGGTGGCACGACTGGGGATTCGCATACGGTGGTCCTCCAAGTGGGCACGTCCCGTAAGAAGAACGCATGACAGGACATGCACGGACTCATGAAGAGGGAGCTTGGAGGGAGGGTTCACTGCAGCATCGTTGATGCGCTCTGGGCTTGCTGTGGCCCTCCTCATCCTCGTTCCTCAACCCACAACACGTTCTCCCTCTTCCTTCCTTCCTGCCTTCCTCATCGGTCCTCCTTCTCACCCTCTCCAGTTCCCTCCCTCCCTCTTCCTCCCCCCCTTCCCCGCAGCTCCTGCCCTCTTCCCTCCCTCCTCCGCTTCTCTCTCCCTCTTCCGTTCTCCCCTCCGTCCTCCCTCTCCCTCCCTCCGCTTCCCCTCCGCGAGGATGCTGCCGATGACGCGCCGCCTCCCATGGGGAGCGTGGTGCTGCAGATCTACTCCGACCACGAGCCCCGTCGCGCGCCCCCCTTTTCATGGAGGGCAGCGGCAGCAGGGGCAGGGACCAGGGAACAGGATGATGAGGAAGGATCCGCCAGGAGAGGAGGATGAGTGCGAGGACGAGGATGAGGATGAGGACGAGGATGAGGATGATGCTGATTATGATGATGATGATGCTGCTGCTGCTGCTGATGATGCTGATGCTGCTGCTGATGCTGATAATGATGCTGATGCTGATGATGCTGATGCTGATGATGCTGATGATGATGCTGATTATGATGATGATGATGATGATGATGATGATGATGATGATGATGATGATGATGGCGAAGATGCTGATGATGATGATGATGATGATGATGATACTGATGATGATGATACTGATGATGGTGAGGATGATGATGATGTTGATGATGATGATACTGATGATGGTGAGGATGATGATGATGCTGATGATGATGGTGATGGTGGTGGTGATGATGGTGCTGATGATGGTGATGGTGATGGTGATGGTGATGGTGATGGTGATGATGATGATGATGATGATGATGATGATGATGATGATGATGATGATGATGATGAGGATGATGAGGATGATGATGAGGATGAGGAGGAGGATTATGATGATGATGATGATGAGGAGGAGGAGGAGGAGGAGGAGGAGCAGAAGGGGGAGCATGCGCAGGAGAAGGGAGGCGGAGGAGGGAGGAGGAACATGGATGAGGAACGTGGATTGGGAGGAGGAGGAGGAGGAGGAGGAGGAGGAGGAGGAGGAGGAGGAGGAGGAGGAGGAGGAGGGGGGGTTAAGGAGGAGGAGGACGCGAACATGGTCGAAGGCGTGTGGGTTAGCAACGGGACCCGTTTCCATACGCAATCAACGGGTTCCGTCGCCAAGTTAGGCCTCACCAGGGCCATGATTCAGGAGAGCACGTTTCCCGATCCGTGGATCTGGCGCCCGCGCGCCAGATCCACCGATCCGTAATCCATGTTAGCGTGTACCCGGGAGGAGGAGAGGAGGAGGAGGAGGAGGAGGAGGAGGAGGAGGAGGAGGAGGAGGAGGAGGAGGAGGAGGAGGAGGAGGAGGAGGGAGGATGAAAAGGAAGGATGAGGAGGGAGGAGGGTGAGGAGGAGGAGGGTGGGAGGAGGAGGAGGGGGGGGGGAGGGAGGGAGGGAGGGAGGAAGGGAGGGAGGGAGGAGGAGGAGGAGGAGGAGGAGGAGCAGGAGGAGAAGGTGGAGGACGAGGAGGAGAACGAGGAGGAGGAGCAGGAGGAGGCCCAGTCGGTCTGAACCTGGTGGCCCGCGCGCAGCCGCCGCCGTCGTCGTCGTCGTCGCCGCCGCCGCCGCCGCCTCGTCGTCGTCGTCGTCGTCGTCGTCGTGGCCGTTGCCAGCGCCGCTGCCACCATCTTTGTCGTCGCCGCTGCCGCCGCTGCTGCCGTCGTTGTCGCCGTCGTTGTCGTCGTCGTCGTCGCGGCCATTGCCAGCGCCTCTGCCACCGCCGTCGTCGTCGTTGTCGTCGTCGTTGATGATGATCACCTCCCCGTCTCATGCCTGGATCCCCCATGCCCCCGGCCGGATTTTTGTTCTTCCTTCCGCTGGAGGCCCCTCTTCGCGGCGACCCGTTAAACTTTGGACCGCTGGCGGCGCGTGAATATTTGTTCCTGCTTCCGCGCGTTCCGTGCCATTGGAACCCTTGGACAAGCTATTTCAGCACAAGTGCCAGCACAACCGTAGTACAACTACTTCTAGAGTGCTGCTGCATTACACTTGCAATCTGGCATCTCGCGCGTTTCCTCCTCAAGTTGCGCTGGGGAAGCGGAACCCTACGCGCGAGCACCTTCGCGGCTGAGAGTTCGTTCCTCCCCCGGAATTGAGAAACTCCTCGCCAGGGATTTCTTTTGCCTTCCTCGGAAATCTGACCCCTGGGTTGGTGCGCCCCAGAAGTTATTTCCTTCCGAATGGGCCCCACGGCCCGTGGGTCCTAAGTTTGGGTCGGCCCGGTGCTCGCTTTATGTGTGGCTGTTTTCCCTTCCTCGCGCCCCCCGCCGCACCAGGAGGACACGAGCCCCTCGCCCGCCAAGGCCGTGAGCCCCACGGGAGGGCTCTTCTCTCCTCCCTCTCCCGTCGTATTTGGGGAAGAGGAGAGGAAGAGTGGTTGAGGATCGAGAGTGGCTGGTGGCCTCCACGGCCTGCTGGCAGCCTCTTGGGATCTCCAGAAACCTACAAGGACGCTGGGGAGAGAAGAGGAGGAGGAGGAGGAGGAGGAGGAGGAGGAGGAGGAGGAGGAGGAGGGAGGAGGAGGGAGGAGCAGGTCTGGGGAGGTCTCGGGGGTGATTGGATGCCCCAGATGGTAAAATATTGTTTCTCGCTCATCCCTCCTTCCCCCCTTCTCCCTTCTCCCTTCTTCCTCCCTCCCTCCCTCCGCTCTCCTCCTTCCACTCTCCTCCCACCGCGTGCGCCTGCCAAGGCCAGCATTGATTGATATGATCCGCGTGCTCATTTTTTCGAACCATCCTGTTGAGGCCCTCGTTCTGAAGAGAACGCCCCGCGTCTCCTTCCTTCCTTTCTTTCCTTCCCTTCCTTCCTTCCTTCCTTCCTTCCTCTCCTCCTGCCCCCCTCCTCCCATCCTATGCCTCAACCTTCCGCATGCCACTGTTTCGGCACATCCCTCACATGTTCCGAGACCCCATAGGAAGCCCCACCGAAGGCCCCAGCGACAGCGCCCGCATGCAGTTACAATTCCCATGTCGGCACACCCATTACACGTTTCGTGGCAACACAGGGAGCCCCACCGAAGACCCCAGTGGCAGCGCCCGCATGCAGTTCCACCACCACTTCGGCACACCTCTCACACGATTCGTGGCCCCATGGGGAGCTGCACCGAAGGCGCCAGGTGCAGCGCCCGCTTGCAGTTCCACCTTTCCATTTCGGCACACCCCTCGCACGTTTCGTGGCCCAGCTACACCGAAGGTCCCAGTGGCAGCGCCTGCATGCAGTTCCGCCCTCCATTTCGGCACACACCTTACACGCTTCGAGACTCTATAGGGAGCCCTACCATAGGCCCCAGCGGCAGCGCCCGCATGCATTTCCACCACCATTTCGGCACACCCCTTACACGATTCGTGGCCCCATAGTGAGCCCCACCTGAGGTCCCAGTGGCAGCGCCCGCATACCACCATTTCGGCACACCTCTCACACGATTCGTGGCCCCATATGGATGGCCCCATCGGCAGCGCCCGCATGCAGTTCCACCCCCATGTCGCACCCCTCATACGTTTCGTGGCCCCATAGGGGGCCCAACCGAAGGCCTCAGTGGCAGCGCCCGCATGCAGTTCCAATTTCCATGTCGGCACACCCCTTACACGTTTCGTGGCCACATCGGGAGCTACACCGAGGGCCCCAGTCGCAGCGCCCGCATGCAGTTCCACCATCATTTCGGCACACTCCTCACACGCATCGTGGCCCCGTAGGGAGCTACACCGAGGGCCCCAGTGGCAGCGCACGCATGTGGTTCCACCTTCAATTTCGGCGACCCCCTCACACGTTCCGTGGCCCCGTAGTGCTATACCATAGGGAGCTCCACTTAAGGCTCCAGTGGCAGCGCCTGCATGCGGTCCCAGCCGCCATTTCGGTGCACCCCTTGCACGTTTCGCCCCATAGGGAGTCCCACCGAAGGCCCCAGTGACGAGGACTTCTCGGGCAGGAGCTGCCAGTGTTGCAAACGGGGGGCCAACAACGCAATTTGAGGATCAAGGCGAGCCCTGGGAGGAGTACTTCAATGTAAAAACACAAGTTGCACCGAATGGGGGTCAGCAGTATTCCTTTAGAAGTGAGAAGTCAACAACACCGCAAATAGCAGCAACAACAATAATAACAACGACAAACACAAACACCAGCGACGACGGCACCACCACCACCAACAACAAGAACAACAACAGCAACAACAACAACAGCAAAAACAACAGCATCAGACATACCAGGCACCGAACTTTCTGGTCGTTCGACTGGACCTGTGGTCAACAAGCCCAAACGGGAAGAACGCACTTGGCGAGTACATCGAGTGAGCATAACAGTAACACCAGCAACAGGAGCAACACCAGCAACACAGCTGGTACCAAGAGCAGCGACAGCAACGACATCAACGGCAGTACCACCAATACAGAAAATAACATGCTTGTGTATCGGAGGTGAGGGGATGAGATCGAAGTGGAAAGGAGAGCCCCCCTACCGGGAAATCGGTTTCGGTTTCGTGTTCGTGCGTGCCGTGCGTGCGGGCGAGGCGAAGCTGCGTGGGCGGGCGAGAAGAAAGTCTCCTCTGGCTGAGGCGCGGCCGGACCAAATGTTTCCTCTCCGGGGGCCGGTGGCGCGCGGTGTCCCTCCGGTGTCCCGCCTCCGGCTGAGGCGCGGCCGGACCAAATGTTTCCTCTCTGGGGGCCGGTGGCGCGCGGTGTCCCGCCGGTGTCCCGTCGGTGTCCCGATGATGATGATGATGATGATGATGATGATGATGATGATGATGATGATGATGATGATGATGATGATGATGGTGATGGTGATGGTGATGATGATGATGATGATGATGATGATGATGGTGATGGTGATGGTGATGGTGGTGATGATGATTGTGTCCCGATGATGATGTTGAGGATGACAATGTTGACGATGTTGATGACGATGATGATGATGATGATGATGATGATGATGGCGATGGTGATGATGATGGTACCCCGATGATGGTGATGATGATGTTGCTGATGATGATGGTGTCCCGATGATGATGATGATGATGATGATGATGATGATGATGGTGATGGTGATGGGGGTGATGACGATGGTGTCCCGATGATGATGGTGAGGTTGATGATGCTGATGTTGATGATGCTGGTCATGATGATGGTGCCCCGACCATGATGATATTGATGATGATGACGATGACGATGTCCCGATGATGATGATGATGATGATGATGATGATGATGATGATATTGATGATGAGGATGATGATGAGGTGCTGATGATGATTTTGATAATGGTGGCCCGATGAAGGTGATGATGATGCTGATGTTGATGATGATGACGGTGTCCCGATGATGATCATGGTGATGGTGATGATGATGCTGGTGACGATGATGATGGTGTCCCGATGATGATGATGATGTTGATGATGATGATGATGTTGCTGATGATGGTATCCCGATGATGATGGTGATGTTGACGATGTTGCTCATGATGATGTTGATGAGACGATGATGATGATGGTGGTGGTGTCCCGATGATGATGATGGTGTCCCGATGATGATGGTGTTGATGATCATGGTGACGATGATGGTGTCCCGATGATGATGGTGTTGATGATGTTGATGATGATGGTGATGAGGTGGTGATGATGATGGTGTCCCGATGATGATGATGATGATGATGATGATGATGATGATGATGATGATGATGTTGATGACGTTGATAACAATGATGGTGATGATGATGATGATGACGTTGATTGTGAGATCGATTGTGAGATCGATAGTGAGATCGATAGTGAGACCGAATGTGAGATCGATTGTGAGATCGATAGTGCGATCGATAGTGAGATCGATTGTGTGATCGATCGTCGGATCGCTTGTGAGATCGATCGAATGAAATAGATCGAGTGAGATGGATTGTGAGATTGATCGAGTGAGATCGATCGAGCGAGACCGATAGTGAGATCGATAGTGAGATCGATAGTGAGACCGATCGAGTGAGACGTTGTTTCCTCCCCCCCCCGAACCTCCTTATCACCCGAAGGGTGGTCGTATAGGTATAAAGACCTGTCTCGCAGCCGTCGGAGGTTGGGGGGTGAGATCCGAAGTGGAACGGCGAGCCCCCCACGGGGAAATCGGTTTCGGTTTCGTGTTCGTGCGTGCCATGCGTGCGGGCGAGGCGAAGGTGCGTGGGCCGGCGAGAGGAAAGTCTCCTGTGGCTGAGGCGCGGCCGAATCAAGTGATTCTCCCTCCAGCAAGCGGTGGCGCGCGGTGTCCCGCCGGTGTCCCGCCCGTGTCCCGCTTGTGGCTGGGCTCCGGCTGGACCAAAGGATTGTCCCTCCAGCAAGCGGTGGCGCGCGGTGTCTCGCCGGTGTCCCGCCCGTGTCCCGCCGGTGTCCCTAGGTGTCCCGCTGGTTCGAAAACGATAGTGAGACCGATGACGAAGTCGATTGTGAGATCGATAGTGAGATCGATAGTGAGACCGATAGTGAGATCGATCGTGATATCGATAGTGAGATCGATAGGGAGATCGATAGTGGGATCGATAGCGAGATCCAGAGTGATATCGACAGTGAAATCGATCGAGTGAGATCGATAGTGAGATCGATCGAGTGAGATCGATAGTGGGATCGATGGTGCGATCGATCGTGAGACCGATAACGACATCGCTTGTGAGATCGAAAGAGAGATCGATAGTGATATCGATGGTGAGAGCGATCGTGAGAGAGAACGACATCGCTTGAGATCGACAGAGAGATCGATCGTGAGATCGATCGAGTGCGATCGATAGTGAGATCGATAGTGAGTTAGATCGAGGGAGATCGATAGTGTGCTCGATCGAGTGAGATCGATTGTGAATGCAAGAATCACCACTGTTGCCCATTGCTGGCCCCCCTTCCCCCCCAACCTTATTACCCGCACGGTGGTCGTATAGGTAGTTGGTTAATGAATTATCTTGTGTGATGTGGTCTGATCGCAACGAAAGAGGCCAACAATGCTAGCACATCTTATGATCCGCACAACAGAAACAACAGCAACACACATAACAGGAAGCAGCAACACAAAACCAACTACTGTAGCGACAACAAACCACAAGCAACAAACAACGACACCACCAACAACGCCGCCATAAGATGACGCCGCCTCCAAGGTGTATTCCCCTGACATACGAACGCCGCCTCCGAGACGACCTCGAGATTGCCCCAACATGACCCTTGCGAGCCCTTAGTTGACAACAAGATTGCCCAATACGGCTCCAATGTGATTCCGATGCGTTTGGCCCTTGTGCCCTTGCTTTTGGCTTGGGCCACTAGGACGGATGGGGGTGCTGGCCCTCCGCCCCCTCGTCGTCGTCCTCTTCCTCCTCCCCCTCGTCCTCGTCGCCCTTGTCGTCGTCGTTGTCGCTGTCCGCCTGGCCCCCCTGGCCCCATACACAGCAGAAACCCGAATCCCCAACACAAGCCGAATCCATAGTTTCCCCGATCGCGTGCGCCTGCCAAAGCCAGCACTGGTTGATATAATCCGCGTGCCGCCTTTCATCTCTGGCCTCGTCCCCGCCACTTGTCTCGTGCTGCTGAGGCTGGTGGCAGGTGGCTTCCGTGGCCTGTGCCATCTTGCGGCCGTCCTCCGAGGCGGGGGCCCTCGCTCTCTGACAGAGCTCCCGGGAATTTCCGAACGCGCGCGCGACCTCACAACGACTAGTTGCAGGGTCTCCTCGGGTGGGGCTTGCGCTCTGCTCGGTTGCAGGACCGCTGCAGCCGTCACGGACACACTGCGGCGGAAGGATGAGGACCAGGTGGGGTATGGGGAGGAAGAGGAGGGGGCACAGGAAGTGGATGGGGAGGGGGATGGGGGAGGCGGGGGATGCGTTGGTGCTTCAGGAGTGGCAGGTGGAGGATGACGGCTGCGCACGACAGCCCAGGGTCGGCAAAACGCAAAGCACGAGAGCCCGCACATGCCAGATAGAGAAAGAGAGAGAGAGAGAGACATATTGTTCGGAGTATGTGCCAAGGCAGTATCGATGCAACCGCTGAAATGACGTCAATCCTGAAGCGTATGCGGGCTACGTATGCAGCAGACGTCGGGTGATGTTTGCATCGCGCACGTGCAGTTCGGAACCAGCAAAACAATATCGTTGTACGGTGTGGCGGTGTAGGTAACGACCAGACCCATGGAGGGAACGCTATTGCTATGTCATGGGCGCATGGTGCGCAGGATTAAGTGAAAGAGGGGACGCCGACTCCGAATTCACGCTCCTTCGAGCGATCTCAGCGAGCTCAGGGTAGACTGTGCCAAACAAGCGACGGGAGAAGGTGAGCCAAAATGTCTGAAGCAGGGCGCATGCTTTAGCGCAGAGGAAATCACAATGTTGCTGGCGCAGACACTGCACCTATGGTGCAGCGAAGCAGGTACGAGCTGGTCAATTGGCGACGCCGACGACGAGAGACGACCGACGACGATGACGACGACGACGACGACGACGACGACGACGACGGCGACGGCTGACGGGCGACGGACGACGGATGACGAGCGACGGCGACAACGAGCGACGACGACGAAAGACGACGACGTCGACGAGGTATAGCGACAACCGACAATCGACGACGACGACGAGGACGACGTCGTCGTCTGCCATCGTCGTCACCGCGCTCGCCTCCGCCGCCGGTCACCATCGTCGTCGGCGCTCGGCGCTCGCCGTGGTCGCTGTCGCCGTCGCCGCCGCTGGCCTGGCCGGCTGCAGGCGTGGCGAGCGCCGCCCGGGGACGCGGGGCGGCCGCGTCTGCCGCCCTCGCCCTGCCGTCGGGAGCGGCTCCGCCCCGCTGCTGCGGCTGCTGCGGCTGCTGCGGCTGCTGCGGCTGCTGCGGCTGCTGCGGCTGCTGCGGCCGAGGGCACCCCGCAGTGCTGGAGGCCTGGAAACTGGCACCAACACCAACACAGGGGGGGGGCCTCCACCGGGGGAGGATGATCCTCGAGTCCGGTGTCGGTGGTGATAGTTCGGTCGCTCTGGAAGCCAGAATCTATTTCCACCGTCGCCGAGATCGGGACCTTCTTCCCTCGGTGGAGGCACGCCGCCAATGTTGGTGTTGGTGTCAACCTCTAGGCCTTCGACATTGGCAAGGCCCTGGGGCCGCACACAGGCAGCCCCCAGTGGTGGCACATGCAGGCCGCGATGGGTGCCCCCTGGTAGTCCTGGGCAGTTGCGACACCTCGGCCTCCGCCGGCGGCGGCATGCCTGCGGCCCTTTGCGCCTCGGCTGCCGCGGCTGCGACTGCTGCGGCTCTTCGTCTTCGTCGCTGCGGAGCTCTCATCTCTGAAGAGTAGTTGCTGTTGATCCCCCCTCCGGTAACATGTGTGCTCTTTCGACTGAAGTGCCCCTCCTCGCACCCTGTTTTCTTTGTCAGGGAAGGTCTTGCTCCTCAAACTGCGCCCCTGGCCCCCGGTCAACAACAACAACAACAACAAGAACAACAACAACAACAACAACAACAACAACAATCATTTTACCCGAACGCTCAGTGTTCTCACCAGTGCCAGGGTTTTCATGCGACGCGAGACAATACCCCCACTTCGTGGGGGGGCAGTTCAAGCTCTACCAAATATCCAAACGACTCTTCGCGACCACCCAAACCCAGCTTCCCGCCCTATGACGTTGGGACACTTCACTTCGTGGCGTGCGGACGACCGTGGCTACTACACTGGCGTGGGGTACACACCCACAGAACTTGGTCACTTATTCGGGGCGCGCGTGTGCCCAGCATCCTGCAATTGTGACATACAATACATGACACAGACAGACAGAGAGAGAGACAGAGAGCAGACAGAGAGAGAGACAGAGAGAGCGGAGTTGGTCACATTTTTGGGGCAAGTTCCTGAGATCGTCGTGTTTTTTGTTGGTCTTGCGCGCGCGAATGTCCACTTTACTTTTTTTTGCAAGGGAGTATTGAAATTTGATTATGTTAGAACAAGAAAAAGTAGCTCGCGCGAGCTCATGTAACATAAATGTTGAAAAACCATTGGTTTTGTGGGAGTCGGACAGCGCGCGCGGGATGAAATTTGGACATTTTTTTTTGAAAAACCATTGGGTTTTTGATGTTTTTATGTTGAAATCGTTACGAAACCTAAGGTTCTGGAAGGATTTCGTCTTGCGCGCGCGAATGTCCACTTTACCTTATTTTTTGCAAGGGATTATTGAAATTTGATTATGTTAGAACAAGAAAAAGTAGCTCGCGCGAGCTCATGTAACATAAATGTTGAAAAACCATTGGTTTTGTGGGATTCGGACAGCGCGCGCGGAAGGACATTTTGACAATTTTTTCTTAAAAAACCATTGGGTTTTTGATGTTTTTATGTTAAAATCGCTACGAAACCTAAGGTTTTGGAAGGATTTCGTCTTGCGCGCACGAATGTCCACTTTACCTTATTTTTTGCAAGGGATTCTTGCAATTTGATCAAGTAAAAACAAGAATTTTCATTTTCTATTGTTTTTTGCAAGGGAAAACGAGCGTCAACAAAAAACCGGATCCGGAGCTCATCCACTTTTCTGAAGCTTTCGCGAAAAAATGATGAAAATGTAGCTGCGGCCTAGGCGCGGCGCAGAGGTCGCGCACCAGGGGTCCCAACAATAATAATTCTTTAGAAGGAATAATGTTCAACAACAGCAACAACTACAACAACAACAGCAACAACAGCCACAACGCCATCTCCGCCTGATACGTCCTCGCAATGTATTGAAGAATCGCGCTCTCGCACGGGACTTCCTCAAAACTTATGTACGAATCGCGCTCTCGCGTGGGAATCCTTCGGAATTCATTCAAACGGTGTGCCCTCGGCGCTCAGGAATCACGCTCTCGCTTTGGGCTTTCTCGCGATTGACTTGGATCTGCCCGTCTGGTTCTACCACTTGGTTTCTGCTCCTTGCATCCCTCCTGCTAATTTCTCATGTGTTCCATTATTCTTCCTCCCCCTTCCACCCGTCCTCTCTTCCCCTGTTGTAGGGGCTGCGCTAATGCACGTGGCAGGTAAAGAAGATATACACCCAAGAGGGTACGATCGAAACGACGAGGGCGGGCGCCGAGGGCTCAGGATATACGTAGAAGCGAACAGGTTTAAAACGATCATTGTAGTAGTAGTAGTAGTAGTAGTCGTCGTCGTCGTCGTCGTCGTCGTCGTCGTCGTCGTCGTCGTCGTCGTCGTCGTCGTCGTCGTCGTCGTGGTGGTGGTGGTAGGAGTAGTAGTAGTAGTAGTATGGTAGTAGTAGTAGTAGTAGTAGTAGTAGTAGTTGTTGTAGTAGTAGTAATCGTAATAGTACTAGTAGTAGTAGTAGTAGTAGTAGTAGTAGTAGTAGTAGTAGTAGTAGTAGTAGTAGTAGTTGTCGTAGTATTTGTAGTAGTAGTAGTAGTAGTAGTAGTAGTAGTAGTAGTAGTAGTAGTAGTAGTAGTAGTAGTAGCAGGAGTAGTAGTGGTTGGTGTTGTTGTGTTGTTATTGTGGTTGTTGTTGTGGTTGTCGTTGGTATTGCTGTTGGTAGTGCTGTTGTTGTTGCTGCTGGCGCTATAGCTGTTGTTGTTGCTGCTGTTGTTGTTTTTGATGTGGCGGTTGTTGCTGTTGTTGTTGTTGTTGTTGTAACTGTTGATGTGGTAATCGTTCTCGTTGTTGTTGTCGTTGTCGTCGGTGGTTGTCGTCGTCGTCGTCGGCGGCGGACGTCCGTAGTCCATCGTCGTTCGTCGTCGTCATCGTCGCCATCGTCGCCACCGTCGTCCGTGTCGTCCACTGTCCGTCGTATGGCGTCCGTCGGCGTCGGCATCGGCGTCAGCGTCGGCGTCGTCGTCGTCGTCGCCGCCGCCACCGCCGCTGTCGTTGTCGTTGTCGTCTTGCCGTCCCCATGGGTGAGGGGAATCATGGTCGGGTGGCCCAATTTCTTTGGGGGGCTCAGGGTGGTCGGGGAAGTAATAAATGGAGGAGGAAGAATAAGAGAGGCGGAGGAGGAGGAGCAGGAGGAGAAGGAGCAGAAGGAGCAGCAGGAGCGGGAGCAGGAGGAGCAGGAGGAGCAGCAGCACGAGGAGAGAATGACGTTCTCCTCCTCCATGCTGCTTCTGCTGCTGCTCTAGCTCCTTCTGATTACCCTGTGCCTCCTCATCCTCCCTCCTCGTCTCCCTTTTTCCTCCTACTGCTCCCCTCACTCCCGTCCTTCTCGACCTACTCCCACTCTTCCCCCAGCCTCCCCCTCTTCATCGTCCTCGTCCAGCTCCACCTCCTCCACCTTTTCCTCCTCCTCTTCCTCCTCCTCCTCTTCCTCCTCCTCCTCCTCCTCCTCCTCCTTCTCCTCCTCCCCCAGGAGCGTGCGGTCACCGCCGCTGGCCGCGTCCCTGGCGCCTCCGTCGGTCGCCATCGCCGCCACGGCCGCCGCCGTCGCCGTCGTCGCTGTCGCCGTCGTCTTTGTCGAGGTCGTCGTCGTCGACGACGGCGTCGTCGTCCGTCGTCATCGACGTCGTCGTAGTCGTCGTCGTCGTCATTGTCGTTATAGTCCTCATCCTCATCATCATCAGCAGCATCATCATCATCAACATTATCATCATCATAATCATCATCATCATCAGCATCATCATCATCATCAACATCATCATCGACATCACCATCACCATCACCATCACCATCACCATCACCATCACCATCATCATCATCATCATCATCATCATCATCATCATCATCATCATCATCATCATCATCACCATCATCATCATCATCATCACCATCACCATCATCACCATCACCATCATCATCATCATCACCATCACCATCATCATCATCATCATCATCATCATCATCATCATCATCATCACAACCATCATCATCATCATCAGGATGCCGGCGCTTGCTTTCGCTTTCAAAGTTTACTCGAAGGTTGCGCCCGTCGGGCCCTCTTGCCCCCATGCACAGTGACCCCCATGAGATTCGAGCTGCTGCTTTGCGCACCCTGGCGCAGTTGCACGGCACTCTTCCTGTCCGCAGCTGCGTGCGATCGTCAGGATGATGGCAGGTGGACGGAGGGTAGAAGGAGAAGAAGGAGGGGAAAGAGGAGAGGTGAAGGAGAAGGAGGGGGAGGAAGAAGGAAGGGGAAGAAGGAGGGTAGAAGGAGAAGAAGGAGGTGAATGGATGAACATCAGGAAAGGGGGAGGAGGGGACGCGAGGAGCAGGGGAGGAGGGAGGGAGGGCAGAGGAGGGAGAGTCGAGGGAGGAGGGACGAGGCAGGAGGGAGCAGGACAGGGTCCTGGAGGACAGGGCTGACCCTAAACGGTGTTTTTGGCGATTTCGTGGGCCGCTTTCGTTTCGACTTCGTTTTGCGGTAAAGGCGGATTCGAGACAAAAGCGAGGGAAAACGAAAACAAAACGGAAACGAAAAACACCGGACGATGACGACGATGACAACAACTATAGTAGACACGTAAGATAGACATCTTTCTGTACGACATCTAAGGACACCTGCGTCGTCGATGTTTTGAATTGCCCCAGCTGCCCCTGGACTTTGCGGGTCCCCGAGGCCATTCGTGGATAAGAAGCTTCCGTGCGGCACTTGCAGGCATGCCCGCGGTTTACACCGTTTACGGTCAAGAAAAGGTCATCCGAAGACACCCTGGCAAGATTCCAGGCAACACCTTGGACAAGCGTTGGTTCGTCCTTGCTCGTACGGACCCTGTGCACGAAAAGGAGGGGAAGGGATTGGCCCGGCCTCCTGGCGTACGTACTGCCAAAGAAACGCGATCCAGGCAGGTGGACGCCATACTTCCCCCACGACGACGAGGGGACGACCGACGACCAACCAACGACGACGACCAACGACAGACGACCGACGACCGACGACGACAACGACGACGACGACGACGACGACGACGACGACGACGACGACACCGACGACCGACGACCGACGACCGACGACCGACGACCGACGACCGACGACCGACGACCGACGACCGACGACCGACGACCGACGACGACGACGACGACGACGACGACGACGACGACGACGACACGACGACAGTGGGTAACGGGGGGAGGGAGAGGGGAGCGGGCGGAGGGGGGAGGAGAGAGGGGAGGAAAGGGAGAGGGAGGGAGAGGGGAGGAGAGGGGAGGGAGAGGGGAGGGGGAGGGGGAGGAGAAGGGAGGGAGGGGGGGAGGAGAGAGGGGGAGGGAAGGAGCTGCAGGCGGAGGGGGAAGCACGCGGGAGGGCGGCCGGCCGCGACGGGCTCCCTCCCGCCGCCGCCCGCCCGCCCGCCGCCCCGCCCCGCGGCGAGGCCGCCCCGCCCGCCGTCGCCAGCACGGCCGCGCCGCCGTTCACGCCCGTAGGCGGCGGCGGCGCGGGCACGCCGACCGCGCGCTTCGGCGGCGCGGGCGTGGGCGTCCGGCGGGGGAGGCGCGCGCGGGCCGCCTCCCTGCTCCTCCGTCCCCGAAGCAACCGCGGGAGGAGGAGGAGGAGGAGGAGGAGGAGGAGGAGGAGGAGGACCAGGAGGGGGAGGAGGGGAAGGAGGACCAAGAGGGGGAGGGGGGGGAGCAGGGGGGGAGGAGGAGAGGGGAGGAGGGCCAGCGTAGATCCAGGACGCGTCAACGATGTTGCAACAAGCCCTCCCTCTAAGTTCCCTCTTCACAGATCCCTGCAATCATTACTTTTCACTGCGGGAAGCGGCCCGTTGGAAGACAACCGTTTGAAAATTCTCAGTCGTGCCATAACACCACTCCTGGGGCTTCAACGCCGTGGATCAATTGTACCGTCGCGTCCTGACGATCCTGAATTGTGCCTGAATGCAACTCCTGGGGCAACACAACTATTCAACGTGACTGTTGCACCCAGATTATGCTAAATCGCGCCTCGATCCGTGATCCTTTGTTCAGCAAGTGATTCGGACACTTCCAAGAGTCTCGATTCTTCGTTCCTCAAACCTCTTCCCAGACGCCTGGGAGGAGGAGGAGGAGGAGAAGGAGGAGCAGCAGGAGGAGGAGGCGGAGGAGGAGGAGGAGGAGGAAGAGCAGGAGGAGGAGGAGGAATAGCCGCCCGACCAACCCGAGTGACCACGCAGGTTGCCCGGAGCGCTGGATGATCGCTCACAGCATGCCCTCGACTGGTGCAGCCGCGCCCGGGCACGCGCGAGCGCAGCAGCAGCTCGGCGGGCGTCGAGGAGGAGGAGGAAGAGGAGGAGGAGAAAGAGGAGGAAGAGGAGAAGGAAGAGGAGGAGGAAGAGGAGGAGGAGGAGGAAGAGGAGGAGGAAGAGGAGGAGGAAGCGGAGGAAGTCCGCCTCTTCCTCCTCTTCCTCTTCCTCCTTTCAACCCCCCTCCTCCAGAAAGATTGAGCTGCTGTAGAGAATCGGGGGAGGAAGAACCACCCGGACCGGACGACTGGCGTTGACTAACGGCCCGGGGCGTTTCCAGAACAGCCCTGCACTGTTCGCGTGTCGGGATGGTGGTGGCTTTTCTGACCTGTCGAGAAGCTTTTGCACAAGAGCAACCCACACATGCCGCCGCGCCGTCTTCCACATTTCTTTTCTTCTTCGGCGCGCGGGCCTCCCGTCTTGGGGGGAGGGCGCCGCAGGCACCGGGGCAAACCTCTGCTTCGGACACAGAGTTTTTGCCGTGGGTCTGCCGTGGCGTCGGCGTCGTGCACTTGGCCGTGTCGAGGACGAACGGCGCGGCGACGTCTGTTCTCGAGCCTCGAGGTGGGACGATCCTGAATCCGCTCAACATCAGTTCTCCACCCACCAAACCACCCCAACCCAATCCGAAGGCTCAATTTTACCGTCGATTTCCAGTGGTGGGGGGGGGTCGGGGAACATCGAAAAAACGCGTGTGGAACCCTTACCCCCCCCAACCCGAAATTCGGGTCTTCGGGTTGGGTTGGGGTGGTCTGGTAGGTAGTTATCAGTACCGACGCCCCTCCCGAAGTCCATCCCGGGCCCGTTTCTCGCGCCGTGCCCAGCCGTGGCGGCGAAGGGCGCACCCGAGGCTCAAGATACCAAGGAGCGCGCTCTCCGCTCCGACCCCGTCGAGCCTCCTCGAGCTCCCGCCCGGTCCTCGATCCTCCTCGATCCTCCTCGATCCTCCTCGATCCTCCTCGATCCTCCTCCTCCGATCCTCCTCGATGCGGTGAGCGGCTCAGCACCCCTCGGTGTCGGAGGCCGCCCAGGAGGTCGCTGGCCTGCGCTATCTGGCGCGCGAGGTCGGGCAGTGGGTCGGGCGCTAAGGGGCGTCGATGGCGGAGCGGGCCCGCCACCTCTGGGCCAGCTTGCTCCGCATAAGCTTCCCGCGTGCCAGGCTTTGGATGCGACGGGAGCCACCGCCCTGCAGGCCCCGAGGACTTGGCATCGCTCGGGACGTGTGCATTTTTCCTTCGGCGAGGACCATCGAGGAGCATCCTGGATTATTTGGCGAAAAAGCCACGCGCGAAACTGACAAAAAACACCCAGGGAACGGACGTCCGAGCGATGCCCCGAGGATGGTCTGCTGTGTGTCGCGTGGTGCCTGCACGGGGGGGGGGGGGGCGAGGAGCTCGCCCGCCGATGCCACGGGCACGCGCTGGCGAAGGGCTCGGGCAGCAGAGGCCCCACACCCTTGCTGGGCTTCTCACTGGGTGGAGGAGGAGGAGGAGAGGAGGAGGAGGAGGAGGAGGAGGAGGAGGAGGAGGAGGAGGAGTAAGAGAGGAGGACGAGGAGGAGGAGGAGGAGGAGGAGGAGGAGGAGCAGGAGGAGGAGGAGGAGGAGGAGGAGGAGGCGGCGGAGGTTCACCAAGTGCGCGGGGTGGAGCCTCGGGGCATTGGAGCGCCCAGCCCCTTCGGCCCTCCTGGACCCCGCGAGCGCGATGCGGGGAGACGCCCTCGAGCCCCCGTGCTGGCCTCGAGCCGAGCTGTGTTACCCGGGGGGGCCCCTGGGCACACAGGCCTCGCCCGAGGTCAGCTGCCGGCGGAATTCGCCCTGGACGGCCCCTCCCTCGAGCGCTCTGCGCAGCTCGGGCAGATGCGGCACGAGGAGGAGGGCCGGCAGCTGCAGGAGGAGGACGAAGCATAGTCTGCTCCATCCTTCTGGCTCGTTTTTCTTTTATCTGAGGGCACGCTGGCTTGGATGGACAGTCTTCCCGCTCTTCATTTCATTCCATTTCATGTCATTTCACTTCATTTCATGTCATTTCACTTCATGTCATGCCATTTACTTTCATGCCATGCTTTTCATTCCATGTACTTTCACTTCCGTTCACTTCATTTCATTTATCATTCCTTCGATCCTCCTCGATCCTCATCGATCCTTGGATCCTCCTCATCCTCCTCGATCATCGTCGATACTCCTCGTTCTCTTCCCTCGATCCTCCTCGATGCTCCTCCATCCCTGGATCCTCCTCCCTCGCTCCTCCTCGCTCCCTCGATCCTCATTTTTGTTCGATCCTCCCCGATCCTCCTTCGGTCCTGCTCGACCCTCCCCTGCCCCGCAGCACCGCCGTGAGCAGCGACGGCGGCACCGGAGAGGGAGACGCCGCCGGGGGAGCCAAAGAGCAGGCCACCGCCCGGCGCAGGGGCCGCCCGCGCGCGCAGCTGCTGCGGGTGATTTTGGGGGGAGGCGGCCCTGGGCGTTGTGCGGGGAGGACGGGCGGAGAGTAATAGTACGAGAAGCATGGAACGAACAGTGAGTAAGAATCGGGGAAGACTCGGAGGAGGAGAGGCCGAAGCCTTGCGCGCCGGAGGCGTTCCCTCGGTTCCGGTCCCTGGGGGCCTGCTTCGGGCTCCAGCGCCGTCCAAGATGGATCTGCTGGCTGGACTCCAGGAGGGGTCTGGAGACCGGTTTTGAGCGAGTTTTGGTCGGGACCCACACATGGAGGAGGACGAGGAGGAGGAGGAGGAGGAGGAGGAGGAGGAGGCGAAGAAGGAGGAGAAGAAGGAGGAGGAGAAGGACTTTTCGGACCTCTCCGACGATGGTGACTGCGTGCATGTGCAGACCCACCTTCTGTTAAATCCATGGCTGCGGAACCGCGTACCATATTCAGGTCGGCACTCCGCGACTTAGGCGACCAAAATTCTGTCGGCCTGTGGGAGAGACCACGGACGGTCGGGGCTTCGCACAATCGACCTGAAGTACAGCACGCGTCTATACATTCTGAGGCTGTACGAAGCGTGACAAAGCTTGGATGCACAAGCTTGCCTCTCCAAGAGTCCCTGACGAACTGGCCTCAGCGGACAATCTAATCTCGCAAACGGGACCCCACGCAGCGGATCCAGGGCGGGGAGGATGCCAAAAATCAGCAAGCATTCCATTCACGGCAGAGGGCCTAGAAAAACAGCTCTGACGTTTGAAATGAGAGCCTACAACCAGAACATCGCGCCCCTGTTCAACCAGCCCATCTTTACGCTGGTTGCCAGTGGCTCCCTCGCTCTTGATTCTGTGATTTTCGCTTCTCGCGGCCCAAGTGATCTTCCCTCGAGCGGGTGCAGGTGAGGGCACCAATTGCGGAGCACCCGGAAAAAGCAATGGTCGACATGTCGTAGGTCCGCAAGCGAAGCTTGATCCGCTGCCCCCCAGCCCCTTGCCTCTCCTGCGAGCACGTCGGCAGCAGCATTCGCAGAAGGAGGGAGAGAGAAGGAGCAGAGTACACCCAGGGTGCATCAAAGATGCTGCAGTACACCCTTTTTTGATTCGCGGGTCGAGAGCGCACCTCTTCCGGTCGAAGCTAAGCGGGCCGCGCGAAGCTTGAATTAACAAAGAGGGGGGGACAGAAGGAGCGCGGCCTCACGGCAAGGCCCGGAGGAGGCAAAGCCACGGGATCAGGCGGTGCCGAAAACGACGTGCTTGCACAGGAACGCCTTGTACAGGAACCCGGTGGCGAAGTACCAGCAGAAACAAAATGCTGTGGTTGGTGTTGCCGTCCACGGTTCGTCATGCACACCAGCCTCGAGTTGGCGGCGAGAGGAGACGCGGCTTGTACCCAAGCGGCGTCGACCAGGGAGGGTGGAGAGCATCGCTGAGCCGAAGTGCAACGTTGTGCCATCGAACAGGTAGCGGGAGCGGGCGGCCCAGACCGTGGTCGTTCAGGGTGCCACGGATCCAGGGTACGGGAGCCGCAGTCTGAGGCGCGGCAGCCAGGACACGCCAGGATCATGCCGCTTGTAACGACCGACAGGGTGCCGGTGTGCTGCAGGATGTGGAACGAGTCGTGCCCTGCAGTGGCGAGGATGCTGCAGTACACCCTTCCGTCCCAAGCCACCTACCCCAAAGTCCTTCTACGCATTCCGTTTCACTACGGACGAGCGTCCCATGGGCATGCCATTCAGGCGAGAGGCTTGGCTATGTATATATATATATATGTATATATACACATAGAGAGAGAGAGAGAGAGAGAGAAAGAGAGAGAGAGTATAATATCCAGACCTCAATATATATATATATATATATACACATATATACACACAGATATACACATATATATATATATACATGTATACGATAATATGCATTGATAAATCTAATCTAACACAGAACTAAATCTATGTATATCGACAGAGGCCGATCTGTATTTATATGCATTTGTGCAGCGTGCGAAGATGCAATACCATAGAGAGCCCAAGGAAGGGTCCAGCGAGAGCCCCGTCTTGAAAAGAGGGGCCGTCGTCCGCAAGTTGTGGCTGTGACGCTCGTCCTCCAGCAGTGCAGCTGGTTCGCGATTCTAAGTAGGAGCGTGCCCAGAGGAAGTCTCAAGCGAGAGCCCCATGTTGAGAATCGGGGGCGGCCAAAAGGGGGGTAATGACTAG